GATTTATAGTTTACCCACAATCAAAGAGCATTCTGAACCCCACTTTTCCTGCTCCACCCTTGAGGTCTTTGGGTCTTCTGACTGTGCTTTGTCTGGAACCTCTCCCGCGGCCATTCCTGGGAGTGGACGACTCCAGTTGTTGTGCCCGCAGGTTCATTGGAACACGCAAGCCCCCTCACCACGACAAGGACAGTCCATCGAGGGGGAGCACTCGGTGTTCACATTTGGGCATATTGAGTACCTGTGCCAAGTTTGGTCCAGCTCCATCGTTGTTTCAGTCCACAGTGCTCTCTGGAAGTAGGTGAACTACAACTCCAAAACTCAAGGTCAACGCCCACCAAACCTTTTCTGTATTTTATGTTAGTCATGGGAGTTCTGTGTGCCAAGTTTGGCTCGATTCCATCGTTGGTGGAGTTCAAAATGCTCTTTGATTGTAGGTGAACTATAAATCTCAGCAACTCCCAAATGTCACGGTCTATTTTCCTCAAACTCCACCAATGTTCACATTTGGGCATATTGAGTATTCATGCCAAGTTTGGTCCAGATCCATCATTGTTTGAGTCCACAGTGCTCTCTGGATGTAGGTGAACTACAACTCCAAAACTCAAGGTCAACGCCCACCAAAGTCTTCCAGTATTTTCTGTTGGCCATGGGAGTTCTGTGTGGGAAGTTTGCCCCAATTCTGTCGTTGGTGGGGTTCAGAATGCTCTTTGATTGTAGGTGAACTATAAATCCCATTAACTACGACTCCCAAATTTCAAGGTCTATCTCCCCCAAACTCCATCTGTGCTCATATTTGGGCATATGGAATATTCGTGCCAAATTTGGTCCAGATCCATCATTGTTTGAGTCCATAGTAGTCTCTGGATGTAGGTGAACTACAACTCCCAAACTCAAGGTCAATGCTCCCCAAACCCTTCTAGTGTTTTATGTTGGTCATGGTTGGTTCAATTCTGGTTGGTTCAATTCTATCATGCTATTTGATTGTAGGTGAACTATAAATCCCAGCAACTACAACTCCCAAAGACAAATCATTTTTTTTGAGTGAAGGGGTGTTAGGTGTATGCTGTCCAAATTTGGTGTCAACTCGTCAAGTGGTTTATGAGTTATGTTAATCCCACAAACGAACATTACATTTTTATTTATATAGATGAAATGCTTTTGACACAAAATAAATAAAAGTAGAATTCTCTAAGTACCCTAAACTGCACCTTTAAAATACAAGAAACATGATTTGAATAACTCACCAAAGGTGTTCTAATATTCATTTAAATTTGTTCAAAAGCGTATTTTCTTTCCGTTCTATCTCATGAGATGTTTTTGGGTCAGTGTATTTCTTCAGCAGTGTGTTTAGAATTTCCTTTCTGTGGTCAGATGAAAGAGTCAACATGTGTGGCCTTCAAACTTCTCTCAGGTCTCTTCATTTCCTCTGCATTTAACTAAGCCAGACTTCCTGTTCTGCACTAAGGTTTACTGTGGATATATTCCAAGCAGGCAGTAGTAATAGTAGTAACAGTTATACATTATCCATATTTGCAAGTTACATCCATTGGCTACTCCCCCCCCCCCCAATACTGTATTTTTTTTAAAATGTATTTCCCTTTCCTTCAATTTATAACTTTAACTTCATTAGATGTGAGCAGATAAATTGGTTTTGTGTGTGTGTGTGTCGGAAACATGTTGATAAACTGTAAGTTAAGTTCTTGTAGGTTTTTTCGGGCTATAGGGCCATGTTCTAGAGGCATTTCTCCTGACGTTTCGCCTGCATCTATGGCAAGCATCCTCAGAGGTAGTGAGGTCTGTTGGAAATAGGAAATGGGTTTATATATCTGTGGAATGACCAGGGTGGGACAAAGAGCTCTCCGCTGAAGCTAGGTGTGAATGTTTCAGCTGACCACCTTCATTAGCATTTGAAGGCCTGGCTGAGCCTGGGAAAATGTTCTGTTGAGAGGTGTTAAGATGTGCCTGGTTGTTTCCTCTCTGCTGTTTTGCTGTAGTAATTTTAGAGTTTTTTAATACTGGTAGCCAGATTTTGTTCATTTTCATGGTCTCTTCCTTTCTGTTGAAATTGTCCACATGCTTGTGGATTTCAATGGCTTCTCTGTGTAGTCTGACATGGTGGTTGTTGGTGTGGTCCAGCATTTCTGTGTTCTCAGATATGCTCTGCTATGGCTGACTTCTCTGGTTGAAGTAGTCTGCAGTGCCTTTCATGTTCCTTGATTCGTGTTTGGGCCTTGCTGCATTTGGTGGTCCCTATGTAGACTTGTCCACAGCTGCATGGTATACGGTAGACTCCTGCAGAGGTGAGAGGATCCCTCTTGTCCTTTGCTGAACGTAGCATTTGTTGGATTTTCTTGATGGGTTTGTAGATTGTTTGTATGTTGTGTTTCAACAAATGCTTTCTTCAGCAAAGGACAAGAGGGATCCTCTCACCTCTGCAGGAGTCTACCGTATACCATGCAGCTGTGGACAAGTCTACATAGGGACCACCAAACGCAGCATTGCCCAAACACGAATTGTTTTGCTGTCTACATTATGTACACACCAGAACATAATTTAGAGTAACAAACTGGAAAAGTTACTTTGTCAGGAATGCTAGATGGCAATAAACTCATTTGAGGAACAGTTGTAAAGCTCTTTCCTGGGTGTACTGAACATTTAATCATAACCCTTGACCTGTCAAGAAATAGGAAGAGTCACTTGTTCCTGCATCCAGTCTGCAATACAAAATAAAACCACTTCCTCGGTTTTTGAACAAGTATTTTATCAGAAGACTGCACATTTTTTTTGTCTTGGATGAAATGAATTCCTCCCCCTTCCGGAAAATGTATCCATGGCTATAAAGTATTTGTAATGCAGGCTTGGGGAAAAGGGAAAGGTTGATTTATTACTTACTAACTTGGGTACCCAGTGTTGTCCAAATTATTTGAAATAGTCCATATTTTAATTGTACAAAATGCATAAGATTGTGGGTGAACTACAACTCACATCATGCCAGTTTAGCCCCGAGAAACACGCTCAGTACTTAGTTTGTTATACTGGGCAAGTGTGCTCTAGATGCATCATCCGTGGGGTTCAGTGTGCTCTCTGGATGTAGGGTAAACTACAGCTCCCACTATGGCAAGTCGGTCCCCTCAAACCCCTTCAGTAGGTTGAGTTAGTCATTGGGGTTCTGTGTGCCAAGTGTCGTCCAGGTCCATCATCGGTGGAGGTCACCATTTCTCTGGTTGTGGGTGAAGTACTACTCCCTAAAAGGAAGCTCAGCGCCCCCCCCCCCAAAAAAAACCCTCCAGTAATCAAATTTTGGCATATCAGGTATGCGTGCCAAGTTTGGCCCAAATCCATCAGTTTTTGTGTCCCCAGTGCTCTCTGGGTGTAGGTGAACTACAACTCCCCCAAATCAAGGTGAATTTTCCCCAAAGACCTCCAGTATTTCTTGGTGATCATGGGTCCTCTATGTGCCAAGAACTATAAATCCCAGTACTTAGAACTCCAAAATGTCCAGCCCAATTCCCCTCAAAATCCACTAGTATTCAAATTTGGTCATGCATGCGAAGTTTGGTCCAGTTACATCATTGTTTGGGTTCATAGTTTGCTCTGGATGTAGGTGAACTACAACTCCTTTAAATCCCTCCAAAAACCTCCAGTATTTTTTTTTTTTTGTCATGAGGGGTTCTGTTTGTCAAGTTACTTCTAGGTCCATCGTTGGTGGAGTTCAGATTGCAGGTGAACTATACATTTATTTATTATTTACGGCATTTATATGCCGCCCTTCTCACCCCAAAGGAGAGACTTATAAGATATATTTTCATACAATATGTTATATTATTAGTATAGTACAATATCAGTATTATATATTACTATATTGCACTACACCATTATATTGTAATATTATTCGTAATGTTACATGTAATGTAAATATATAATTATAATTATAATATTGTATTATTATTACTAGTATTTTATTGCATTACATTATAATATTATAAATATTATATGTATATACAATATACTAGATTATATTATATACTAGCTTGGGGACCCGGCACTGCCCGGGTTATTTGAGAAAGGAATTGTGTATCAAGGTTGGTATTTATCAGTTATTTATATGGCTTGCAGTGGTGTCAGGAAGTTAGTGAAGGTACTGCGAGTCCCATCATCTGTGGTACATCCTCCTCCAAACTGGATGGAGAGTGGATCATGGGGGCTCTGTGTGCCAAGTTTGGTCTTGATCAGTCATTGGATGAGAGTCACAGCGGTTTCAGAAAGTGAGTGATGGTACTGCAAGTCCCATCATCCATGGTCCACCCTCCTCCAAACTGCAGTAGGATGTAGAGTGGGTCTTGTGGGCTCTGTGTGCCAAGTTTGGTCTGTATTGGTAATTTTTTGACACAGCCTCAGGCCTTTTCCTCTCTGTCACCTCAGAATCTTGGAGTTTTGAGGCTGGCCAATCAGAGACCATATGCAAATTGTACCACAGTGGCAGCCAATCAGAGCGCTGCCACATACACCTCCCTCCCGTCCTCCCTCCACATACAAACATTGACTTTTATTATATACATAGATATACATATAATATTATAAATATTATATGTATATACAATATACTATATATATCCCATGACCTACAACTCATAAATCATGGTGAATTCTCCCCAAACCTCTTTATTATGTTCAGTTGTTGATCAATTCCTCTGCTTGCTGTGTGCCATAGAAAAGAATAGGAAAGGGTTCAGGGAGAGGCAGTGGGTGGGATCATGCAAATTCCACACTAATAGAGTTAGAAACACTGGGATGTCTGTGGTGGAGGAAACACATAAAAACTAGGATGAAATTGTCCCCGTATGAAAGCCTTCACTTGGGTGGTGGGCAGGATTATGTTTGTGGAGGACATTGGCAGAGCTCTTGGGCATGTACATGGTGCTCGCTATAACCTGCAATGTGGTTTCTACATTAATATGTAACTTAAGGAGCTTATTTTCTGTTTCTTTTTTCTGCAGTGGATTTGATGGAAATAAAGGAAATCAGACCAGGAAAAAATTCAAAAGATTTTGAGCGTGGGAAAGCAACACGACAAAAAGATGAACACTGTTTCACGGTTTTCTATGGTACTCAGTTTGTCCTCAACACGTTGAGTTTAGTAGGTAAATCTGCCTTCGTTGACTGAATCCCTTAATTCTTTTTTAAACATCGGATCTGGGCTTAAAGTTTCACAATGGGAGAGTTGCTGGAAAACTTTAATCTACGTATTTCGACAAAATGTTGAAACTGGAGATCCTTTTTTTCTAATTTGATATCCATTTTATTTGTAGCTGATTCCAAGGATGATGCTGAGAGATGGCTCTGTGGGTTGAATATTTTGCATCAAGAAGCCATGAATGCCTCCACACCAGCAATTACAGAGAGGTATGTGGAAGAAAACTGTTCTATTTTTCATATGGTTTGCTTTTAAGAATTTTGGAATGTATTTATTTATTTATTTACGACATTTATATGCCTCCCCTCTCACCCCGAAGGGGACTCAGGGCGGCTTACAAGATATATATACATACAATATATTATATTATTAGCATAGTACAATATACGGGATGTATAGATTCTTTTTGTGCCATTAATTTATGCACTCAGTGTGGATTAAAAGCTTGTCACACCTCTCTAACTAATCTATCTGTGCTTCAAAAATCAATTTCTGGTATTCACACTGTGACTTTCTCCCTATAGCAGGGAATGCTTCTAAAATATGCACATTAAAATGTAATATATAACCTTAGCCTCCCAGCACAGGTGTACAAGGCTTATAAGTGGTGCTGGAAGATCTGTTCATGAATTCCTTATGGTTTGTGGAGTGTAAAGGTGGCCGTAGAATGTAATTTGGATTGAGGCCATTGTGGTTATTTCCTGATCCAAAGTTGTTGTTTTCAAACTGGTGCTTGACCTGCAGGTGGATTTTTTTTAATATGAGGAACTGAGGTTTTCCAAAACTCCAAAACACATTGTGGAACATTGAAGCGTACACCCAAATTCTGACCGCCTCTTTCGCTTCATATGTGAATATTTTTAATTGTTTATGTGTTTATTGTAATTTTATATTGCTATGCATTCACATGTTTTATGTAATTATGATGTTGTTGTTGTTTATTGTCTGCGTTTTCAGTTTGCGTTTTCGGTTTTATTTGCTGTAATTTGTTGTTTGGGCTTGGCCTCATGTAAGCTGCCTGAGTCCCCATTGGGGAGATGGTGGTGGGGTATAAATAAAGATGATGATGATGATGATGATGATGATGATGATGATGATTGTCTTTTATAAGTAATGGGTTGGTCACTTTCATTACCAGCACTTTTTGACTCCAATAAGAAGAAAATAAAAGATAATCTCTATGTAGTAACTATAGAAATAGGAATAAAATATGGACTGTACTTGAATATAAGCCAACCCGAATATAAACTGAGGCACCTAATTTTACCACAAAAAACTAGGAAAATGTATTGGCTCAAGTATAAGCCGAGGATGGGAAATGCAGCAGCTACTGGTAAATTTCAAAATAAAAATAGATACCAATCAAATTACATAAATTGAGGCATCAGCAGGTTAAATGTTTTTGAATATTTACATAAAACTGTAATTTAAGATAAAACTGTCCCACTCGGATTAAACCATTATTCTACCCTTCCTCAATGTAAATGTGCTTATGTATCCTTCCAGTAATAACAAAGAGGGTAAAATAATACATGTAATAGTAATAATAATAATCATATAATAAATGTAATAATAATAGAGTAAAATAATACATGTAATAATAGTAATAAATAGAATAAATTATAAATGTAATAATAATAATCATAATAATCATAAATAGAGTAACATAAGTGTAATAATAAAAATAGAGTAAAATAATAAATGTAACAATAAAATAGAGTAAAATAATAAATGTAATAATAGAAAAAAATAATGTAAATGTAATAATAGCAGATTAAATGTTTTTGAATATTTTGAATATTTGCATAAAACTGTAATTTAAGATAAGACTGTCCCAATCTGATTAAACCATTTTTCTAACCTTCTTCAATGTAAATTATTATTATTACTATTATTATTATTATTATTATTATTATTATTATTATTATAGTAATTATTACTGTTATTATAGTATTATTATAGTAAAACAACTGGAAAGGCTGACACAATATTAGGATTTAAAGATCAAACTGCAAAGACTCTGGCACAAACCAGTAAAGGTGATCCCAGTGGTGATCGGCACACTGGGTGCAGTGCCTAAAGACCTTGGCCTGCACTTAAACACAATTGGCACTAAGAAGATTACCATCTGCCACCTGCAAAAGGCCACCTTACTGGGATCTGCATGCATTATTCGCCGATACAACACACAGTCCTAGACACTTGGGAAGGGTCCGACGTGTGATCCAATACAACAGCCAGCAGAGTGATCTTGTCTGCTGTGGACTCACCTTGTTGTGTTTCTAGTAGTAGTAATAATAATAATAATAATAATAATAATAATAATAATAATAATAATAGTAAAATAATAAATGTAATAATAGAGTAAAATAATACATGTAATAACAATAATAAATATAGTAAATTATAAATGTAATAATAATAATAATAATAATAAATAGAGGAACATAATAAGTGTAATAATAAAAATAGAGTAAAATAATAAATGTAATAATAATAGAGTAAATTAATAAATGCAATAATAATAATAGTAAAATAGTTAATGTCATATAATAATAAAGTAAAATAATAAATACAATAACCATAATAAATAGAGTAAAATAATATATGTAATAATAACAATAATATATAGACTAACATAATAAATGTAACAATAAAAATAGAGTAAAATAATAAATGTAATAATAATAGAGTAAAGTAATAAATGGAATAACAAATAAATAGAATAACATAAATGTAATAATAATAATAATAATAATAATAATAATAGAGTAAAATAATCTAAATGTAATAATGATAGCAGAGTAAAATAATAAATAACTTTGATTCGAGTATAAGCCGAGGGGAGCTATTTCAGCCTTAAAAAGGGCTGAAAAACTCGGCTTATACTCAAGTATATACGGTACTTTGAAATGCTGGACGTTGTTCTCCCATTAAAGCTAACTTGAAAATGTAATAGACATTTCTGTATCCTTTTATTGCTATAAAAATTGAAATGGCCAAATACGTTTTGATCAAGTTGTCATGAAACATCTCTCAGTGCTGTACTTTATTTGTTTCTTTTTTTACAGCTGGCTCAGAAAGCTGATTTACTCAGTGGACCAATCCAGAAGGAACAGGTAATGTTTATCCTTACAACTTCTGCTTTACTTTGCTTGTTTTGTTTGCTTTCCTACTTTTGAATTGTATTCATTATAGTAAAGTCAACAGTACTTTAAAAACAAAACATAATATTAACTTTTAAGACAGAGAAAGAAAGAAAAAACAGACTTGAATAGAGTTTGCAGTATCTGCTCTTCAAGCCCATGATTACTTTTTGTGCCCTGTGTTTGAAACTTATGGCATAGAAGGGCATGATATGGTCTGCAAACCTTTAAACTGAGTCAGGAGCATTATTTCCCCAGTGCTTCACATACAGGATTAGTTATCCTTAATTAAAAAGCTACCATTTACTTGTATTGTCGAAGGCTTTCATGGCCGGAATCACTGGGTTGTTGTAGTTTTTTTGGGCTATATGGCCATGGTCTAGAGGCATTCTCTCCTGATGTTTCGCCTGCATCTATGGCAAGCATCCTCAGAGGTAGTGAGGTCTGTTGGAACTAGGAAAATGGGTTTATATATCTGTGGAATGACCAGGGTTGGACAAAGAACTCTTGTCTGCTGGAGCTAGGTGTGAATGTTTCAACTGACCACCTTGATTAGCATTTGATGGCCTGGCAGTGCCTGGGGCAATCTTTTGTTGAGAGGTGATTAGATGTCCTTGTTTGTTTCCTCTCTGTTGTTGTGCTGTTGTAATTTTAGAGTTTTTTAATACTGGTAGCCAGATTTTGTTTATTTTCATGGTTTCCTCCTTTCTGTTGAAATTGTCCACATGCTTGTGTATTTCAATGGCTTCTCTGTGTAGTCTGACATGATGGTTGTGAGCATAAAGATGGAGTAGCTATGGGGAGCCCTCTCAGCCCAGTCATAGCTAATTTCTACACAGAGTTTTTCAACAGGGCTTGTTTTTCAAAGTGCTCTGTGTAGAAATTAGCTATGACTGGGCTGAGAGGGCTCCCCATAGCTACTCCATCTTTATGCTCACAACCATCATGTCAGACTACACAGAGAAGCCATTGAAATACACAAGCATGTGGACAATTTCAACAGAAAGGAGGAAACCATGAAAATGAACAAAATCTGGCTACCAGTATTAAAAAATCTCTAAAATTACAACAGCACAACAACAGAGAGGAAACAAACAAGGACATCTAATCACCTCTCAACAAAAGTTTGCTCTAGGCACTGTCAGGCCATTATATGCTAATCAAGGTGGTCAGTTGAAACATTCACACCTAGCTCCAACAGACAAGAGTCCTTTGTCCCACCCTGGTCATTCCACAGATATATAAACCCTTTTTCCTAGTTTCAACAGACCTCACTACCTCTGAGGATGCTTGCCATAGATGCAGGCGAAACGTCAGGAGAGAATGCCTCTAGACCATGACCATATAGCCCAAAAAACCTAAAACAACCTAGCATTTACTTGTTGCAAGTATAAATACAGCCCATGGTTGTGTTTACCATGAGGGCTGTTGTAGTAATTCTGTCTTCCAAGAGGGTCCCCAAGAATTCCAGTTTGATTACAAACAACAGGGATCTCATTTCCATGAGAAACACATTGGTTCCCTGAGATACACAATGAGGCACAGAAGCCAAAAAAAAAAAAGCCCCCTTTTCAGCAGCAGAATTAATATAATCAAGGTCAATTAAAAAAAAGAAAGAAAGGGCAAAATGCCAATCCCTGCATGTTCTTTGACAGCTGCTCACAGTACCGTGTGGTCACCTGTGTTTAGATAAGAAACACCATAATAAGGAAGAATTGTGACGCATGGGAGATCCATAGGATAGTCAAGCCTTTGCAGCTGCTCTATCCAATCTTACTCAAATTCAGTGTATTGTGTTAGGATGCCAAACCACAACACAGCTGATATATCTTCTGAAGGTTTATTAGAGTGGCACTGCTTCTTGCTTTCTAAACAATGGGGATGTGAGAGGGGAAAGAATCTCCTATGCTATTCTAATCATATAATATAATATAATATAATATAATATAATATAATATATATTGTATATACATACAATATTTATAATATTATAATGTAATGCAGTATTTCTCAACCTGGGGGTCGGGACCCTTAGGAGGGTCGTGAGGAGGTGTAGGAGAGGTGGCCAAAGACAATCAGAAAACACAGTACTTTCTGTTGGTCAAGGGGGTTCTGTGTGGGAAGTTTGGCCCAATTCTATTGTTGGTGGGGTTCAGAGTGCTCTTTGATTGTAGGTGAACTATAAATCACAGCAACTACCCAAATCTCAAGGTCTGTTTCCCCCAAACTCCACCACTGTTCACATTTGGGCATATTGAGTATCTATGCCAAGTTTGGTCCAGATCCTCCATTGTTTGAGTCCACAGTGCTCTCTAGATGTAGGTGAACTACAACTCCCATGATCAAGGTCAATGTCCACCTAGTCTAAATGGGATGTAACTAAGGACAGTTTTCATTTTTCTTTGTTTTCTCTCAACTTTCAGTATCAGCCTTCGCGAGCTGAAGACCGTGCTTCCATCTGTAAACTACAAAGTAAACAACATAAAGTTTTTAAAAGATAAATTTGCAGTAAGTATGTGTTAACCACTTTTCCAGTTGTGTATATTGTAAATTGTGTCACAAGTGACTGTTCTCTGGGATAATTGCTACTACAAAAACACCTGAAGATAAAATCTTGTGTTCCAACCCCCGACCCCCAGGTTGAGAAATACTGCATTACATTATAATATTATAAAAAACTATGTACATGGTTAATTGTTAATGTTAAATACAAATCACATTTTCCAAACTCAAATCCCTTGTGTTAAAAGATATGGAATAACACATACCTATGAAAATGAACAGTGGGATATTTTGGTCCTTTCTTAGGCCAAAGCCTGTTTCCTTTGAGACCCTTTCAGTGGTCAGTAGGCAGGTTTCTCATATTGGAAGTTACAACAATTACGTTATGTAATACAATATTTGTTCCTGGGTTATAAGTGTCATTTCCTAATTGGTTCTGTCATAAAAACATGGAAAAAGTTTACTAAACTGCAAAAACGTTGTTTTTGTGGAGTAACCGGCAGCACATTTTGCTATAGTTAAATGCTCCAGTGGGATTCCTTCCCAGGTGATCTTCAAAGCTCGGGATGCTTCGCTGTTCTCTGTTCTATATGGCCATGAAAGCCTATAATTTATATCTCACTTAGCTATACCTGCCACGCGTTGCTGTGGCTAACCTTCCTTTCCTCTTTCTCTCCTTCTTTCTTTCTCTCTTTCCTTCCCTCCCTCTTTCCTTCCTTCCCTCTTTTACTTTCCCTTCTTCTTTCTTCCTTCTCTACCTGTTTCTTTTCTCGCTTCCTTTGCTCTTTGGTTCCTTCCTTCCTTCCCTCTTTCTCTCTTTCCTTCCTTCTCTCCTTCCTTCCCTCTTTCACTTTTTTTAATTTTCTTCTCTTTCCTTCCTTCTCTATCCTTCTCTACCCTTTCTTTCCTTCTCTCCTTCCCTCCTTCTTTCCCTCTTTCTCTCCCTCCCCTCTTTCCTGCCTTCTCTACCCTTCGTTCTCTCCTTCCCTTCTTTCCCTCTTTCTCTCCCTCCTTCTCTACTCACCTTGCTTTCCTTCCTTCTCTCCTTCCCTCCTTCTCCCCCTCCTTCTCTTTCCTTCCTTCCCCCTTTCTGTGTATGTGTTTTGTGTGTGTATATGCATATATGTGTGTATATATGTGTGTTTGTGTATATATATGTGGTTTTGCGCATGCGTGGTAATGTATTTTGGGGTTTTGGGGGCTTTTTAAGTCCCTTCTGCTGTGTTTTCCAGTGTTTTTATGAGTGATTGTCACTTGTTGGCCTGATAGGTTTATTGTGTCCAAATTTGGTGTCAATTTGCCCAGTGGTTTTTGAGTTATGCTAATCCCACAAGCAAATATTACATTTTTATTTATATAGATAGTCTCAATTGTTTGCGGCAGCCACAAAAACGAAGTTTCTGGAGTAGAACAACTACTTCCAAAGTAAAGACCACACAATGAAACAGGAAATAACATTTTCAAACCAGGAACAGAATATTTTTTCAAATTTTGTTACATAGTGTTATGTCAGAACCCGTGTTAGATCTTCTTTAAAAACCTCTTGATTATTTACTTTTTCCACAGGAAATAAAGGCTGTTAAAGAAGAACTTAGCTTTGAGCAATTCCATCTGTTTTACAAGAAAATTATGTTCGAGCAACAGAAATCGGTAAATGGGCAGTTTACATCTTAATACATTAATGATAGTTCTGTTATTTGGATTATAGCAGTTTAGTAGACATATTTCTTTCAATTTTTGGTAGATTTGGAAGAATTGGTAACTGTTAGTGAAAAACAGATCTTCGTCCGGAATGTCCTATCAATTGGTATTGTGTGTCTTGTGTATTGTTTACTCTTGTAGCTAAATTGTTTCTGTTTTTATTTTTATTTTTATTATATATACTAGCTGTACCCGCCACGTGTTGCTGTGGCCAACCTTCCCTCCCTCTTTCTCTTCTTCCTTCCATCCCTTCTTCTTCCTTCCTTCTCTATCTGTTTCTTTTCTCGCTTCCTTTGCTCTGTGATTCCACCCTTCCTTGTCTCTTTTCTTCCTCCCTTCCTCCCCTCTTTCTCTTTCTCGTTCCTTCTCTGTTTCCTTCCCTCTTTCACTTATTTTAATTCCTTCTCTCCTTCCTTCCTTCTCTAGCTTTCTTTCTTTCCTTCTCTCCTTCCCTCCTTCTTTCCCTCTTCCTCTCCCTCCTTTTCTCCCTCCTTTTCTCCTTCCTTCCTTCCTTCCTTCCTTCCTTCCTTCCTTCCTTCCTTCCTTCCCCCTTTATGTGTATGTGTTTTGTGTGTCCATATATGTGTGTATATATTTCTGCATATAATTGTGTATATGTGTATATATGTGTGTTAGTGTATATATGTGGTTTTGAGCATGCGTTGTAATGTAATTTTTTGGTTTTGGCTTTTAAAGTCTCTTCTGCTGTGTTTTTCAATGTTTTTGTGACTGATGATCACTTGTTGGCCTGATTGGTGTATTGTGTCCAAATTTGGTGTCAGTTCGCCCAGTGGTTTTTGAGTTATGCTCATCCCACAAACGAATATTACATTACATTTATTTATTTATTTAGAGAGCGAGTGTGTGTGTGTGTGTTAGATGCCTCAAGTCTGTTTTTTAAATACAATGACTCCTGTGTGTGTTTATTTAAAAATCAGGAGCTCTGGCATTTGCCCTGTCAAATTCACTCTAGGCTAGAATTATGGCCTAGTTCTGTTATTATGATTCCAGTCCAACAAACCATGGGTTTGGATTTCGATTGTAGCTACAAATGAAGCCATACTTCACCACAAGGCTGGACAAATGCAGCCCAGGGCTGTCTATGGCTGGATCCAGACAGGCATTTATCCCAGCAGGAGAATCTGTGTTTAAAAACCCGGATTTTCCTGGGGGTCTGTTCACACCGACCCCAGAAAGCATAAACTTTCTGGGGTGGGTGTCCAGAAACTAGCACAAAAGAATGTCTGGAGGCCCTACCCTCTTCCCTTGAAGCCCCTAGACTCCTTAGAAAACTAAGAAAAACTTACCCGGCCCCCATTACAAGCCTTGGCTGACTCTTCCGGTGCGTAGGAATGATGCGCCAGAAGAGCGTGGGGGGGGGGGGGGGGGGGGAGTGACTTTCCTCCCCTCCCCCCTTGTTGTCCTGGTGTGTCATTTCTACACTCTAGGAGAGCCTGCCGAGGCTTGTAATGGAGGCCAGGTAATTTTTTCTTAGTTTTCTAAGGGATCTGGGGACTTATGGGCAGGGGGTGGGTATTCCCACAGTTTACTGGGCTGCGGTCCAGAACCAGAAATCGTGGGTTTATCCCACACCTTCCAAGAAGGCGCGGAATAAACCCACTATCTAATTAATTTGCTACAAACCAGGGTTTTCCTGGTTTGTAGTGAATTAATTCAGGACTGTCCAGCCCCTCCTTTATTGCGGTAGATATCACAATAAAGATCCTGTCTGGATGGGCCCATGTGTCCCCCAAGGCTCAATTTTATAAAAGGAAAATATAATACATTTAGGTGGTAATGAGGAAGACAACACCACTAATAATAATAATAATAATAATAATAAAGACAACACCACTAATAATAATAATAATAATCATCATCATCATCTTTATTTATACACTGCCACCATCTCCCCTGTGGGGACTCGGAACGGCTTACATGGGGCCAAGCCTAGACAACATATTACAGCAATAAAATCAAAATATAAACAACAAACAACAACAACACAATCACAATACATTAATAATGATAATTAAAAAAAAGCTTTTTACTGCAGAGCCGGTTGACATCATATTTCACTTTTACAGGCAATATATGTTCTGTTTCTTTAAAACATGCATTGTTTTTGTCTTTGCTTTCCTAGATTCTTGATGATTTCAAGAAAGATTCCACTATGTTTCTTCTGGGGTGAGAATGCTTTTTCATTCAGTTTGGGATTTTATTGTTATTCAATGAGAGATAACTAAAAAGCAACATTTTTTCACAATCCTAATGTACTGAAGCTTAGAATAATCATATTTGGATGTCACTATAAGTCAGGAATCAAGGTTTTACTTAGGCGATCCCTTGTTGCTCGAGGATGATTGTCTTCCAGATGTGGTGTCTTGGCGGTGGGTCCATAGGTGGTTGTGGAGCCCTATTCTTGATCCGCATGTTCTCCCGCAGTGAGGACAACGGTTTCCAGATGGAAGGCGGTCCCGGTCAGAGTTGACTTGATCCACCTTCCTCTTGGCACATTTCTCCCTTTCACCCTGCATTCATGCCTCTTTGAATTCCACAGCACTACTAGTCGCAGCCGACCTCCAGTTAGAGTGCTCAAGGGCCAGGGCTTCCCAATTCTTGGTGTCTATATCACAGTTTTTGAGGTTGCTGGTGTAGATGGCCTGTTTTTTTCAGCTTTGTTCCTCTCATTTGTATATAGAGGAATCAGGCATAGATTAGTATGATATCTGATGTGTAGAAGCAACCCATATTTTGTAAGTTAATATTAATTAATTAATTACTGTATTTGTATACTGCTTTTCTCAGCCCGTAGGCGACTCAAGGCGGTTAACAGGGCAAGATTCAATGCTTATAAAGTCATAAATATAATTAAAAACATAACAAATAAAAAAACTAAACAGATCAATAAAATATAAATTCATAGTGTCTCCTTGTTAAAAACATTGTCTGGACTCATTGTGTAGTCGTTCCATTTTCCTATGTCATATACTCTGCCTTTGCAAACTCTTATTCAAAAAGCCACTTGACTTTTTCCCGGAATGTTAAAAGGGAGCTGGCCGATCTAATATCTTTAGGGAGGGGATTCCACAGCCGAGGGGCCACTACCGAGAAGGCTTAGGATTTCATAGAGGTTTTCCCTGGCTTTAATACCATGCTTAACTATTAATTCCTGCATTTTTGTCTGCTTTTCTGGGTGGAAGGGACAAAGTTGTATATATATGTAGTGGGACTCCCTTTGTCTGCTCTTCCCAGAGCCAGAAGGGATGAAAAATAAGGAAAGGGTCAAAATAGAGTGAAACAATTGCTATCTGAAAATGTGAGCTCTTAAGGCTATTTCACAATATAATGTGATGCCTTCTAAGAAGTTTCCTGGGTTGTTTTTCTAAGAGCTAAACATTAGCCAACATGAGTACAATCTGTGGCGACTGGGTCTTGATTTCACACTGTATATATTTCAGATATCAATATTAATACTGTCAAGAATACATAGTATGATTTTACATAGGATTTGTGCTACATTAGAACCGTAAAGACAAATATCACTTAAGTAAAATAAATATTAAATATCCAGAAAAATAAAATAAGGTGTAAACACTAAACTAATCTGGGAATCTGCTATTGCAACACATCCAATGAAGTGGTTTAAAACCAGTAAAAAAAGATTAGGACTAAGTATGTTCCAGTCTACTTGGAATACACAAAGCTCATTCCAGACTCGATCTTTTGTGGGTTTTCCCATGAAAGTAGTCTTTGAAAGGATTGTCCTCCCCTGTCTTCTTTTGTTAACAGCAACACGGATCGTCCAGATGCTTCAGCAGTACATTTGCATGACTTCCAGAGGTTTTTGCTGCATGAACAGCAGGTGAGATGGCCTAGACCTCTTGTGCAGCTACACTCAAGACTCTTCTGGCATTGTGGGTCATAGCTGGAGAGTTCATATATTTCTGGTCGGTGGAGCTTTCCTATCTTCTGTCTGACCTGCAGAACTAATGGAATAAGATGTGGAATGGGAGGTGCAGCTGCAGGAAGGATGTGGACAAAATACAGGGTGCAGCAGCATAACATCCTTTTTTCAAAACTTAATAAAACCCATTGTATGAATCAGAATTTTTTATATATATAATGTAGACGCATACCTAAAGTTTTGTTTTACGTAGTTTTGAAGATCAAATTAGGTAGGGGAAGTCCCCCATTCTGCATACACTGAGCAAACCGATTTCTGGCGTTTGTCACGACTCTTGCCAGCGTAGCAGGCGTTACGTTGGCAATTTCTTCCTGGATGTCGGCCTTCAAATCTTGTAGGGTCCTTGGATGGTTCACATAAACACGGGATTTCAAGAAACCCCATAGAAAAAAATCACAAGGGGCCAAATCTGGAGAGTGGGCTGGTCACTCCAAATCAACCCTAATTGAGACGAGGCACTCTGGGAAGTGTTCCCTCAAAACAGCCATCGATGCTCTCGTGTGTGCAGTTGCACCGTCTTGTTGGAACCAAATGTCCCCTAAGTCCAACCCATCTAGCCGTGGGAAAACAATTCCAGTAACTTGTTTACATACCGGTCCGAATTCACTGTCACTGCAACTTCATTTTCCTCAAAGAATCAGGGACCAATAATTCCAGCTGAGGAAATTGCCCACCACACTGTGATTTGAGGTGAATGCAAAGGCCTTTGGTGCCATTCTCGAGGATTGTTGTCAGCCCAGTAGCGCATGTTTTGTTTGTTGACGGATCCACACAAATGAAAATGGGCTTCATCACTAAAAAAAACCAATAACGTCCTCAGGAACGACTTCGAGAAGAACCTCACACGCGTTCCTCCGAGAATTGAAGTCACGTTCAGAAAGTTCCTGCACAATCACCATCTTGTAAGGATGGAAATGAAGATCATCGTGTGATTTCTCCTCATAGAACGATCGGAAAGTCCAAGGGCAGATGCATGTTTTCGTGCAGAACGCCGTGGTGATCGCAACATTGAAGCTCTCCCTGCCTCAAATGTTCTCAGGTGATCCAATGGGCCAAGGGACTCCAGTTCTTCGTCTTCTCGCGCTTGCAGTTTGTCTGAATGTAGTGACCCACATCACAATTGATTTCCTGTCCGGGACAGGGGCCAATGGGGCTAAATTAAAGCGATTCCAAAAGTCGCGCTGGGTTGTGATCACAGAACATCCGCTCAAAAAGTAGGCCTCAACGGCAAAAGCATGCTCCTCACTGTTCCAACACATGATGGCGACTGAACTGTGTCAGGACAAAACTTTATACTCCCACCTCTCGGACGAGACCACTAGCGCTCCGCTACGTCTTCAACCGACTGAATGGCGCGCATTTTAAAAAAGGAAGTTATGCTGCCGCACCCTGTAAAAGACACTCAGTCTGCACATAAGAAGCTCCCTGGGTCCTGTCCAATCTTAAAACTTTTCTTTGATATTCTTTGATATTTCCTCAAATGTGCATGCAAAAGGAATGAAGGGTTTTTAGCATATTTCATTATTTTGTGTTACAGATGTCATGAACTCTGTGCCACTTCCTGTTGAGTAAACAGATTTTTATTTTAGTTATATCTGACTTAATGTATTGCTGTGTTTTCTCTTGTATTAATGCTTCCTTGTTTGCTGCCACTATTTGAAACACCGTGTATTTCAACCATTACCTCTTCAAAATATAGGAACGATATCTTGATTTAGCTCTTTGGGATTGCTTTGGTCTGACTTAAATCTTGAATGCATTCAGGCACTATATGAATGAATGAGGAAAGTTCCCTTGGCCAAGGTTGTTTAACTGCAAGATGTTTCGCTATATTGGGCTAAATGAGGAAGTTGATTTCAAGTGATGCCTTACTATTCCTTTAAGAGCTCATTTGCTGCAATAGTTTTTAACATCCTCCTTGCTATGAGCATATAGCTCTTACCTGCTCATGTGGCTTTCGACATTTTGGTGTCCATTTTGGTCAGAATGAATTACTGCAGTTGCTTGAATAATTTTCAGAGTACAGTATACCCTTATCTCTGGCAAAACATAGAATTGTAGAACGAATCATATTGCATTAACTATTAAGAGAAATGGGAATGAATTACAACTGTATATTGTGGAAATTTTAGGAAACATGGGCGCAAGATCTTAATAAAGTAAGAGAACGGATGTCTAAATTTATAGATGACACCATGAGAGAAACTGATGAACCTTTTCTATATGTTGATGAGGTAAGATAATGAAGTTTTTCTTACATTTTATTTATCTATTTGCAACATTTTTTACCCTAAATATATACCGTATATACTGTATAATAAGCCGACCCGAATATACACCTAATTTTACCACAGAAAACGGGTAAAACATATTGACTCAAGTATAAGCCCGAGGGTGGGAAATGCAGCAGCTACTTGTCGATTTCAAAATAAAAATAGATACAAAATAAAATTACATTAATTGAGGCATCAGTAGGTTAAATGTTTTTATTTATTTATTTACTAGCTGTCCACTGCCATGCGTTGCTGTGGCCCACATGAGGGTTCTGTGTGGGAGGTTTGCCCAATTCTATCGTTGGTAGGGTTCAGAATGATCTGTAATTATAGGTGAACTATAAATTCCAGCAACTACAGCTCCCAAATGTCAAGATTCTATTTTCTCCAAACTCTACCAGTGTTGACATATTGGGAAGTTTGGGCATATTGAGAATTCATGTAGAGTTTGGTCCAGATCCATCATTGTTTGAGTCCACAGTGATCTCTGGATGTAGGTGAACTACAACTCCAAAACCAAAGAACACTGCCCAGCAAACCCTTCCAGTATTTTCTGTTGTTCATGGGAGAACAGTGTGCCAAGTTTGGTCCAATTCTACTGTCGGTGGGGTTCAGAATGCTCTTTGATTGTAGGGGAACTATAAATCCCAGCAACTACGACTCTCAAATGACAAAATCATTATTTTTTTAGTGAAGGACATACATTGGGCTGTTAGGTGCCTTGTGTCCAAATTTGGTGTCAATTCGCCCAGTGGTTTTTGAGTTCTGTTAATCCCACAAACGAACATTACATTTTTATTTATATAGATTTCTCACATTTCTATCCCGTCCTTCTCAACTCAGGACGGCTTACAATGGGCCCCATTACGAAGCCATTACATAACAAATTACGGTAATTAAAACCACAATTAAACATAAAAGCATAATTAACAATATATAAGCCTTTATTAAAACAGTAAAACGGTCTCATCAGCCATATCGTCGTTCCAGTCACATTCCCTTAAAGTGCTGCTTGCACCTATTGTCCAAAAGCCTGATCCCAGAACCATGCCTTTAATTTCTTTCGAAAAGCTAGGAGGGAGGTGGCTGATCTTACCTCAGCTGGGAGTGTGTTCCATAGGCGAGGGGCCACCGCCGAGAAGGCCCTGTTTCTCGTCCCCGCCAGGCGCATTTATGCTGTTGACAGGAGCGAGAGAAGGGCCTCCCCAGATTATCTTAGGTTTCGAGGTGGGACGTAGGGGTGGATGCATTCGGACAAGTAAGCTGGGCCAGAATCGTATAGAGCTTTATAGGTCAGAACCAGCACTTTGAATTGGGCTTGGAGGTGGACTGGCAGCCAGTGAAGATGGCACAACATCCCCAGTTAGTAGTCTGGCTGCTGACCATTGGACTAGCTGAAGTTTCTGAACCATCTTCAAAGGCAGCCCCATGTAAAGCGCGTTGCAGTAATCTATTCGGTATGTAAGTAGAGCGTGGACCACCGTGGCCAAGTCAGACTTCCCATAAAACTAATTTAAGATTAGTGTCCAACTCTGATTAAACCATTATTCTAACCTTCTTCAGTGTAAATGTGCTTACGTATCCTTCCAATAAAAGAAAGAGAGTAAAATAATAAATGGTAACAACAACAACAATAATAATAATAGAGAAAAATAATGGAAATGTAATAATGACAATAATAATAGAGTAAAATAATAAATGTAATATTATTTATTTATTTATTTACTGCATTTATTGACCGCCGCTCTCAGCCCTAGGGCGACTCGCGGCGGTGCACAACATATAAAAACAGTTTACAAAAGGGCAAAACAGGAAATCAATACAACAATAATACACTATAATCTAGTTACACTAAATAATCCGCTCCGTCACATCATAGAATCATAACCAATATCGTAATCCGTATTCCGTTCCAGTTGTCAATTACCAGTTGCCGTAGCGCTCAGTTGAATGCCTTCTCAAATAGCCAGGTCTTCAGGCTCTTACGGAAGGACAGAAGGGATAAAAGAATAATAGTAGTGTAATAATGTAATAATAACAATAATAAAATAATAACAATAATAAATAGAGTAAAATAATAAATGTAATCATGATAATAACTGGAATAAAATAATAAATGTAATCATGATAGTAAATTGAGTAAAATAATAACTAAAATAACAATAACAGTAAAATAATAAATGTAATATAATAATAGAGTAAAATAATGTAAATGTAATAATAAGAATAAGTAGAGTAAAATAATAAATGTAATAATAATAATAACAGAGTAAAATAATAAATTACTGACTTGAGTTTAAACTGGGGGGGGGGGGGTCAACCTAAAAAAAGGGCTGAAAAGCCTGGCATATACTCGAGTATATATGGTAAAAACATACCTGATAGTGTAATCTAAAGAACAGTGCCTTACTCCTTACATTGATTGAAGACAGGTAATTTAAATTAATTTTCTACCCTCATTCTGTTGTGATACATATTGGGGGGACTAGTTGTTTCTCTTCCTCTCTTTGTGTTAATTACAGTCTTGCTCTCCTTTCTTTATGTGTTCTAGTTCCTTACTTATCTTTTTTCAAAAGAAAACAGTATCTGGGATGACAAGTATGATGCAATTGACCCTCAGGATATGAACAATCCTTTGTCCCACTACTGGATTTCTTCCTCACATAATACGTAAGTTGCTCTTTTAAACAAAAAGGAATGCTTATTTTTCGACCTTTGTAACATGATAAACTGCATTACACTGTTGAATGCTATTTTCTATGGCCTAGATACCTCACAGGAGACCAGCTTCGTAGTGAATCGTCCCCTGAAGCATATATCAGGTGCCTCCGAATGGGATGCCGGTGTATTGAGTGTAAGCATTTTGCATGTATACCCATTGAGAGAATTATTGGAGGATCTTGCTAGAGTGCAGGCAGTCCCCAAATTAGGACCAAAATAGGTTCTGTGGGTTTGTTCTTAAGCTGAATTTATTTGTAAGTCAGAACAGGTACTGGTTTGCTGTGAATTTTTAGGGCTGTATGGCCATGTTCCAGCAGCATGCCATCCTAAATGGCCATAAACTCCAAAAACTCACAGCAACCCAGTGATTCCAACCATGAAAGCCTTTGGCAATACACAGAACAGGTACATTTTCTTATTGTAACTCCAGCCTAATCAAGGTGGCCAATTGCAACATTCACACTTGCCTCAAGCAGACAAAAGTTCTTTCTCCCACCCTGGCCATTATTCCACAGATATATAAATCCTGTTTTCCTAGCTTCCAACAGACCTCACAACCGCTGGGGATGCCTGACATAGGTGTGGGTGAAATATCAGGAGAGAATGCTTCTGGAACATGGCCATACAATCTGGAAAACTCACAACAACCCAATCAGAAACAAGTGTTCAACAGAGATACACAAAGCAAAAACTATTTGTAGATTTGCTAACAGGGAGAGATTATTATTCCAATGATGTATATACACTTGCACTGTCATTCAAAATTTCTCGTGTATAAGTGCCTGGTTTTAATATTTATAATTGAATATTGAAGTAGTCGAATACATTTGAATATATCACTTTGATGCTTTCTTAATTGCATATAGTGGATTGCTGGGATGGTCCAGATGGGAAACCCATCATTTATCATGGATGGACACGGACAACAAAAATTAAATTTGATGATGTTGTGCAAGCCATCAAGGAGCATGCATTTGTCACATCTGAGTAGGTATTTTATTGAGGACTAACTGTACCCGCCACTTGTTGCTGTGAACCTTCCCTCCCTCTTTCTCTCCTTCCTTTCCTCTTTTTCTTTCCCTTCCTATTTATCTTCTTTCTTTCTTTCATCTCTACCTGTTTCTTTCCTCCCTTTCTTTGCTCTTTGGTTACTTTCTTCCTTCCTTCCCTGTCTTTTTCCTTTCACTTTTTTATTTCCTTCTCTCCTTCCTTTCTTCTCTACCTTTCTTTCTTTCCTTCCTTCTTTCCCTTCCTCCTTCTCTCCTTCCCCCTTTCCCTTCTTCATTCCTTCCTTCTTTCCCTCCTTCTCTCATTACTTCTTGACTGTCCCCTCCAACTCTATTCTATGAGTCTATTTAATTTGTATTATATAGTAATATATAATAGTAACATATTATATAGTAATCTACATAACAATATATAAAATATTGTATTTATATCTTACATAGAAGGAAAGGAAGAAGGAAGGAAGGAAAAAGGGAGGGAGGGAAGGAAGGAATGGAAAGAAGGCGGGACAGGAAGGAAGGAAAAAGAAAGGAAGGGGAAGGAAGGAGGAGGATGAAGAAAGGAGGGAGGGAAGGAAATGAAGGGTAAGGAAATCAAGAAAGGGAAAGAAGGAGGAAAGGGAGGGAGGGAGGAAAAGAAGGAAAGGAAGGAGGGACAGGAAGGAAGGGAAGGAGGGAAAGAAGGAAAGGAAGGAGAAGGAAGGAAGAAAAGGAAAGAAAGGGAGGAAGGAAGGAGAGGGAGGAAAGAAGGGAAGGGAGGGAGGGAGAGAAGGAAGGGCCTTCACTCAAGCACCATCGCTCTTCCTGGCCACCTCCTCCTCCTCCCCTTCTTCCTTTCTTGGGGCCTCCGCTGCTGCTGCTGCCACTCATCCACCCCTTCCTCTTCCAACAGGGAAAGGAGGAGGAGGAGGAGACTGCCCTCCTGACATAGCAGGGAAAGAGAAGGGGCTCCATGCAGCAAGCCTCCACCCCCATGGTGACCTCTCTCACTTATGTGTGTGTGTGTGTGTGGCCGTGCACACTGGCCTGGCTACTTATGCTTTAACGGTCATGGGTCTCTTTGTGGGCATGCAGTTTCTCCTTTGTGGACATGCAGTTTAGAAGTCCTTTCTGCTTTTTGTTTTCCTTGGTTTTTTTGAATGGAGGGCATACATTGGGTTGTTGGGTGTATTGTGTCCTAATTTGGTGTCAATTGCCCCAGTAGTTTCTGAGTTCTGTTAATCCCACGAATGAACATTACATTTTTATTTATATAGATATTTTCCTAATAATACAATTGCATTTTGTGCCTAATTTATTGTCAGAGGGTAATCTTTTCTAGACTCTGTTTTTAAAATCTCTCAAGCACATTGTAGAGTGATAGAGACAATGTCATCTGTGTAGGAGGTACTTAGCTTCCACTGAGAAAGGCAATATGCTATTATTGAATATTAGCTTCTGAGAGGCAACTTTAGACTGCTCTGTACCTTTATATGTTGTTTATCGACTTCCCAGGGGTATCTGACTGGCCACTGTGCAAATAGGAATGTTAAAGCAGACCTTTTGCCTGATCTTTCTGATTTTTTATTATATTTTGTTTTTATTTTCTTTACTTAAGGTACCCAGTGATTTTGTCCATTGAGGAACACTGCAGTGTGGAGCAACAACGCCACATTGCCAGAGTATTCAGGGAGGTGCTTGGGGATCAACTTCTCACAAAACCTGTTGAAGCCAGTGCTGATCAGCTGCCCTCACCAACTCAGTTGAAAGAAAAGTTCATCATCAAGGTAAGTTTAAATTGCTGACCAAAATATACCGTATATACTGGAGTGAGTATATGTATGAGTATATATATGAGTTATCCAGCCCTTTTTTATGCTGAAAAATCCCTCCTCGACTTATACTTGACTCAAAGTTATGTATTATTTTACTCTGTTATTTTTATTATTATATTTATTATTTTACCCTATTTATTATTATTGTTGTTGTTATTATTATTATTATTATTATTATTATTTACATTATTTTTCTATTATTATTTTTAATAAATTTATTATTTTTCTCTATTATTGTTATTACATATATTATTTTACTCTTTTATTATATTTATTATTTTACTCTATTATTATTACATTTATTATTTTACTCATTATTAGTTGAAAGAAAAGTCCATCATCAAGGTAAGTTTAAATTGCTGACCAATATATATCGTATATACTGGAGTATATATATGAGTTTTTCAGCCCTTTTTTACGCTGAAAAATCCCTCCTCGACTTATATTTGAGTCACAGTTATGTATTATTTTACTCTGTTATTATTATTATTATATTTATTATTTTACCATATTTATTATTGTTATTATTATTACATTTACATTATTTTTCGATTATTATTTTTATTAAATTTATGGTTTTTCTCTATTATTGTTATTACATATATTATTTTACTCTTTTATTATTATATGTATTATTTTACTCTATTTATTATTTTACTCATTATGTATGTATTTATTTATTTATTTACCATATTTATATACCGCCATTCTTAGTCCGAGGATGACTCAGGGCGGTTTACAAACAGCACAATTCGATGCCCGCAATAACATAAAAACAATTAAAACATTTAACATAAGTAAAATTCAATATTATTTATTATTTATTTATTTATTTGCTATACTTGTACTCGCCCGGAGGCGACTCGAGGTGGTTTACATTCGGCAATCAGTGTCCCACAAGATAAAATACCATCAAAAGTTATTACATGTAGTATAAACCATATAAAAAATAACAATAAACAATTAAAATCATAAATTACAGTTCAATAAATAATAAAACCAATAAAAATATAGATCTTCCACGTCTCATTACTATAAATCATTATCCAATCACATTGTCCAGTCGTTCCGAAGATCAGAGTTAGTCTGCTACACTGCATTTGGGAAAGCTTGCTCAAAAAGCCAGGTTTTAACTTTTTTAAATATTATTTTACTCTTTATTATTGTTATTATTACATTTATATTATGTTACTCTATTATTACTTTTAGTATTATTATTACATTTATTGTTTTACTCTTTTATTGTTATTACATTTACAGTATTTTCTATTATTATTACGTTTATTATTTTACTTTATTACCATTATTATTACATTTCCATTATTTTACTATATTATTATTATTTTATTACATTTATTATTTTACTCCTATTATTGGAAGGATAGGTGAGTACATTTACATTGAAGAAGGTTAGAAAAATGGTTTAATCAGAGTTGGATAGTCTTATCTTAAATTATCTTATCTTAAATTTAACCTACTGAGGCCTCAATTCATGTAATTTTATTGCTATCTATTTTTATTTTGAAATTGACCTGTAGCTGCTGCATTTCCCACTCTCGGCTTATACACGAGTCAATACGTTCCCCCAGTTTTTTGTGGTACAAGTAGGTGCCTCGGCTTATTTTTGAGTCGCCTTCTATTTGAGTATATACAGGTTCTAGAAATTGAGGGTGCTGGTTACCATCTTTGGTATGGTAACCAGCTAATTGAAATGGCAGATCCTGCATGTCTGAATTAGAATAGCTATTACTCCTTGGTGGATCTCATGTTGAATATGCTGCGGAAAATCTGAATTGGATACCATGGAGTCTGTATTGATGTGGCACGCAATTGGCACTAAAGCAAAGTAATACTACTCCTTAAATTCTGGGAAGCCAGGAGCCAGATTTTTTTTTACTGAAACGAGAAGGAACATTTGGAACGAGGACTTTCATTTTGTAGTGTCACCTGACATAAAACAATCCGTCTGATCTAAATGATTCCAGTGTACATGTTGACAGACATATGTTACTCCTTAACAAATCCTGGAAATGGAAAATGTTTCATTTGGAGCCACAAAGGAAGCTTTGCCCTTTGAATCCACACTTTGAAAAATTCAACTGTTTTAGTTTGCAAATGGAGGGGTTGCTCATTAAGTAACATTTTTTTGAATTGCAGCAATAGCTTTCCACAATACATTTTGTCCCCAGGGTTCTCTTTGTCAGCGAACAAAGTAGACTAAAACCCTCCCATTTCCTATCAATTCAAAGTAGAAGTTGTCACTGAACAAATACGTAATTTGGGTACACAATGTTTTTGAAGAAGGTCAATTTTATAAAAACAGGAATGATGATTATGAGTGATCAATCCATAAAACTTTACACCAATAAATAATAAAAATAATAATAGCTTTATTATTATTATTATTATTATTACGTTTATTATTTTACTCTATTATTACCATTATTATTACATTTCCATTATTTTACTTTATTGTTGTTGTTATTATTATTATTATTATTGCATTGCTTATTTTACTCTCTTTCTTATTGGAAGGATAGGTGAGCACATTTACATTGAAGAAGGTTAGAACAACCCATAATAATAGCTATTTATATTCCGCCTTTCTCACCCCGAAGGGGACTCAGGACCAATAAGAGTACACATACACGGCAAACATTCAATGCCGCTTTGTATAGACAATACATAGACAGAACAGAAGGAGGTGTGTTGTTTCAACTCAGTGTCCAGCTGTTTTGGTGCCATGGAAGGTTGGTCTCCAGTTCAGCCACAGGGGGTGCTGTCATTCCATCTTCTGTGATGAAGAGCTGTCAGGACTTCCATTTGGTCGCCCAGCATTTTGTGATCTTCTTTCTTTATGGCATCGTAAAACACCTCTCACACTTCATTTCTCTAATGAAACTAAAGCTGTTTTCGACTGCTTAGGTAAACAGTGAGCAGGGCTGATAGTAAGGTGCTCATGCTGACCTGGGGCTTTGAACTTGCAAGCTTTCGGTTGATAGATCTTATAGTTGCTGTTGATTTACCAGCTGTGCTAAACCTCTTTATTTATATTCTGCTCTATCTCCCCGAGGAGATTCAGGATGGATTACAGAACACTTATACGGCAAACATTCAATGCCGTTATACAATTAACAAGGACAGACAATACATAAACAGAGGTATATATAGGCTTTTCCAATTTTTTCCATCTCTGGTATCTGGATGCTGTCCTCAAGTCTTGCCACAGGGTGGTGCTGTTGCTCTGTCTTCCTTGGTGAGGAACTTTTTGTTGTAATTAAAAATACCTAGTTAATTTTTAATATTTCTGACAGGGCTGACAGTGGAAGCTGACCTCAACCCAGGCCTGCACTACCAACTTTTCAATTGCAAGATTTTCTGCAGCTGGTGGTTTAACCCGCTGTGCTAAAGCCAGGCCCTGTTTTTGTAGGCATGGTGAATCTGAATAGAAATTGGTGGTTCATATTAGAGAATGCAAAAGGAATGCAGAACAGCAAAACCAAAATAGAACTGTTGGTTAAATCACCTGAGATAATGCTGATTGTTTTCCCTCCTTTCCTTTTATATTAGCATAAAAAACTCGGGCCGAAAGGTGATGTCGATGTCAATACAGAAGACAAGAAAGAAGAAAAAAAGCAACAAGGAGAACTCTACATGTGGGATACCATAGACCAGGTAAACAATCTTTTCTTTATGCTTGTGTGAGCGTTTGCTTTGGGAGTTTTGACATGGAATAAATTTCTTTATTTCGTGTCAAAAGCATTGCATAAATAATTATAAAACTGATAAAATGCAGGTCTGTGGCTTTAAACAATCCTTCCTCTGTGCATGAGGCAGGGCATTGTGGGCAAGCATACAGATGCTGAGTTGTTTGTTCTGCTCCACAGTCACACAAGGTGTGGAGGATTCTTCTAGGCCAATGTTTCTCAACCTTCCTAATGCTGCAACCCCTTAATACAGTTTCTCATGTTGTGGTGACCCCCAACCATAAAATTATTTTCGTTGCTACTTCATAACTGTAATTTTGCTCCTGTTATGTATCTTAATGTAAATATCTGATAATTTTATTTATTAATTTATTTACTGTATTGAATACCGCCTTTCTCAGCCCGTAGGTGACTCAAGGCGATTAACAGGGCAAAATTCAATGCTTACAATGTGTTAAATACAATTAAAAATATAATATATAACAAAAACTAAACAAATCAATAAAATATAAATTCATAGTGTCTCCTTGTTAAAAACGTATTTTCAGGATGTATTTTCATTCACTGGATCAAATTTGGCACGAATACCCAATACGCCCACATTTGAATACTGGTGGGGTTGGGGAGGATTATTAATTTTATCATTTGGGAGTTGTAGTTCCTGGGATTGTAGTTCACCTACAATCAAAGAGCATTCTGAACTCTAGCAAAGATGGAATTGAGCTAAACTTGGTACACAGAACTCCCATGACCAAGAAAATGTTCTGGGAGGGTCTGGTGGGCACTGACTTTGAGTTTAGGAGTTGTAGTTCACCTACATCTAGAGAACACTGTGGGCTCAAACAGTAATGGATCTGGGCCAAACTTGGCATGAATACTCAATATGCCCAAATGTGAACACTAGTGGAGTTTGGGGAAAATAGACCTTAACATTTGGGAGTTGTAGTAGCTGGGATTTATAGTTCACCTACACAATTAAAGAGCATTCTGAACCCCACCGAGAGTACTGGACCAAACTTCCCACACAGAACCCCCATGATCAACAGAAAACACTGTGTTTTCTGTTGGTCATTGGCGACCCCTCTGACACCCCCTCGCAACCCCCCCCCCCCCAGGGATTCTGACCCACAGGTTGAGAAACACCGTTCTAGGTTGTGCCATTTTGCCAGATCATCTTTTGATCTGTACACTTCACTTCTGAGTCTGTTCAGGGACTTGCATGTTGGCCATTCTTGGTTTGCCCCTGGAAGAAGACCCTTGGGGGGGGGGGGGCATCCAATTGGGATTTCCTGGTTTAGTTTCCCAGAGGGATCCTCTTCCTGTTGTTGGGGGAACGTTGAGAGGAGTGGTTTCCCTGACTTGAGTCTACTGGGAGGAGGCTGATAGCCATGCAGTGCATGGCTTTCACAGTGTTCAACCTTATTTATCTCCCATTTATTTATTACACTTGGGGGGGGGGGGGGCAATGCCAGAGTTTATCAACAGGTGTAGGGTTTGAGACATCCTGTGATTATTCTGTATGTCTCATTCAGTGCTATATTCACCTGCTTTGCGTGTACAGACTTGTGCCAAATAGGGCAGGCATACTTGGCAGTTGAGTAAGACAAGGCCAGGGCTGATGTTCTTGTTAATTTTGGGTCTGCACCCCATGTGCTTCCAGTCAGTTTCCACAGGATGTTATTTAATCCTAGAGATTTTGGTCAAAGAGAGACTATGAGAATGCTTTGACCATATTGTTGTTGATTTTGGAGAGGCTAACGCTTAATTTTGCCTTCCAGAAATGGACTCGCCATTATTGTTGCATTGCCCATGAAAAGCTCTCTTTCAGTGACGACATTGAACAAAACAATGAAGAAGAACCTATGAAGGTATTAAAATTTTAGTAGTGAGATTATTTTCATTTGGGACTTTTGTGTGTTTTATTTTCCTTCAAGCCATTTAAAAAAATCCTATTTTTTGTGTATATTGGTGGGACAATAGAACCTTAAATTAATAAGTTTCCTCCAAGAGTATTGTTGTTATTAGGACAATTACTGTATAATGTGTTGTTGAAGGCTTTCATGGCTGAAATGTGATGTGGCGGCAAAAAAAAGCCAATGGGATTTTGGCCTGCATCAATAGGAGCATAGTGTCTAGATCCAGGGAAGTAATGCTACCGCTCTATTCCACTTTGATTAGACCACACCTGGAATATTGTGTCCAATTCTGGGCACCACAATTCAAGAGAGACATTGACAAGCTGGAATGTGTCCAGAGGAGGACGACCAAAATGATCAAGGGTCTGGAGAACAAGCCCTATGAGGAGTGGCTTAAGGAGCTGTGCATGTTTAGCCTGAAGATGAGAAGGCTGAGAGGAGATATGATAGCCATGTATAAGTATGTGAGAGGAAGCCACAGGGAGGAGGGAACAAGCTTGTTTCCTCTTCCCTGGAGACTAGGACACGGAACAATGGCTTCAAACTACAAGAGAGGAGATTCCATCTGGGGGGCGGAGTCAGCCATGGCCGGGTAAAAAACGTCTTTCCCTTCAGCTCCTGTGGAAATAAAGCAAAAGCAGTGAAAAAATGGACCGAGGACTGATTGTTTTGGATTAAAAAGGAGATGAATGTCTGTAGCACACAAGAAACATGAGGAAGAACTTCCTGACTGTGAGAGCCGTTCAGCAGTGGAACTCTCTGCCCCAGAGTGTGGTGGAGGCTCCTTCTTTGGAAGCTTTTAAACAGAGGCTGGATGGCCATCTGTCAGGGGTGATTTGAATGCAATATTCCTGCTTCTTGGCAGGGGGTTGGACTGGATGGCCCATGAGGTCTCTTCCAACTCTTTGATTCTATGAAATCACTGCGTTGCTGTGAGTTTTCCCCGCTATCTGGCCATGTTCCAGAAGCATTCTCCACTGACGTTTCACCCACATCTATGGCAGGCATCCTCAGAGGTTGTGAGGCCTGTTGGAAACGAGGCAAATGAAGTTTATGTATCTGTGGAATGTCCAGGGTGGGAGAAAAAAACTTGTTTGTTTGAGGCAAGTGTGAATGTTTCAATTGGCCACCTTGATTAGCATTGAATGACCTTGCAGCTTCAAAGCCTGTCTGCTTCCTGCATATTTATTTGAGAACACAGAAATGCTGGACCACTCTAACAACCACCAGTCAAGCATGCAAGACCATTCCATGCTAATCAAGGTAGCCAATTGCAACATTCACATTTGCTTCCAACAGACAAGAGTTCTTTCTCCCACCCTGGACATCTTCCTCTAAGTGTGGTGAGAACATTGACAATGGGATCTTCCTGTTTTCTTGGCGTATGCTTTGCCAGTGATTGGAGTAAAGTAGGTTGTGTTCCTGATAAGCCATGCAAAGGTTCATCTCACTGCCAGCTTTTTCTATTAATGACAAATTGAAAAATGACAAATTTCTGTATTACTATTCCAGGACGTGAAGTGTACAGAGCTCCACTATGGCGAGAAATGGTTCCATGGGAAAATGAAAGAAGGAAGGACAACTGCAGAAAAGCTGCTCCAGGAATATTGCGCCGAAATGGGCGGCAAGGATGGGACGTTCTTAGTGAGGGAGAGCGAAGCTTTCCCTAATGACTACACTCTCTCTTTCTGGTAACAAGATGGTTGAATATCTCTTTTAAACAACAATTAGAATAGGAGTATTGACTTTTTCTGATGTTCAACAAGAATTACGTGATTGCATGCTGAAGAAAGCTATACAAATATCATTCAGTGAATTCATAAATGAGTGTTGCGGTATATTCATTCCATTTGGTGTCATTATGGCTAAAACCAGTGCAGTTGAGATGGTTTTGATATCATATTGTTGAAGGCTTTCATGGCCAAAATCACTGGGTTGTTGTGAGTTTTCCAGGCTGTATGACCATGTTTCGAAAGGATTCTTTCCTGATGTTTCACCTATATCTATGGCAAGCATCCTCAGAGGTTGTGAGATCTGTTGGAAACTAGGAAAATGGGGTTTATATATTTATTTATTTTATTTTATTTCCAGCATTTCTACCTCATCCTTCTCAACCCCCGAAGGGAAACTCAGGACGGCTTACATTTGGCACAGTTTGATGCCATTAAATACAACAAAGCAATATAACAACAATTAAAAGAATAAATAGAACATTAATTAAAACAATAAAAACAGTATTAACCGCCGTATCACCATTTATATATCTGTGGGAGAAATAACTCTTGTCTGTTTGAGGCAGGTGTGAATATTTCAATTGTGCACCTTGATTAGCATTTAATGTCCTTGCAGTTTCAGGGTGGGAGTTCTCCCAGGCAGGAAACAGCAAGGTTTTGAAGCTGCAAGGCCATTTAATGCTAATCAAGGTGCACAATTGCAGCATTTACACTTACCTCAAGCAGACAGGAGTTCTTTCTCCCACCCTGGTCATTCCACAGATATATAAAATCCTAGTTATCTTAGTTTCCAACACACCTCACAACCTCTGAGGATGCCTGCCAGAGATGCAGGCGAAACGTCAGGAGAGAATGCTTCCAGAACATGACCATGCAGCCCAGAAAACTCAGAGCAACCTGGCTTTGATACTGTTTTTGAAGGGTCCAGACAATGTTTTCATCTCCTTTAAATACATTCCTTTTATCTGCTTTGTTCTTAAGCATAGATCAATTCAGAAATAACAATGGAAGGGCTGTTTGTCTTTTGAATGGCAATACATGTTCTGTATCCTTTGACCTAAATGTATGCCATGTATAAGCCTAAAGCAAATGCCGTTCCTATTTCTTCACTACCATTAATGGACAGTATGCCATGGGCCAAATGTTCCATTATTCTGTCAATTTCCTTCTCCCTTGTGGCTCTTCACTTTCTTTCTTCTGTTCTTTACTTGAATTATGTTATAGCACCAATTCCTCCTTCCAGACAATTTTCAGCCTACGAAAGGCTTATGTCATACATCAGAGCAGGGACACCTCTGACCATAAACGCCACACCAGCTTGGAAAAATCAGCAAGTAGTTTATTAAAGAATATATGTAGGCAAAGCAGTAAAATTAGCAAAAACATTAAAGTTCCAAAACAAAGGATAGTCCATGAGCTTCAAGGCAAAACAAGGTCCATAGATACAAAAATCCATGAAACAAGGCACAAGAATCCATGAAGCAAGGCAGCATGAAAAATCCAATACACAAATCAGTAGTTTGGCAAAAACTTGGTATGTGAAACTAAGAACACTTGAAAGCAAAACCATTATGAAATTCCAGCGTTGACCCATCTGAGGCAACTCTTTCCCATGAATCAATATAAAGCTTTCCAAGATCCCAAACTGGAAAGGAAAGCATTTCTCTTGACCTTACAACCAGATAAGGGTTTCTTATCACTCTTTTCCTGTCAACAAACTTTGCGCCTGAGCACAACAAACAACAAACTCTTCTTTGCGCCTGAGCACTCTGACTCTGTTTACAAAAGCATTGCTTTTTATCTACACTCTCATTGACTTGACTCTCATTAACTTCTGCACCTGAGAAATCATCTTCAGACAGTTTCTCTGAGAAAGACTGTGGGGGGCCTCTCCCAGGAATGTGGCCTTGAGAAAATTCCTGAGACAGTTGGGCCTCTCGTCTGAGCTTAACTCAGGCCCAGGCAAACCCCCATTCCCCATTGCCAACAGACACAGGCCCATCATCAGAACATCACCCCCATTATTTATTTATTTATTTATTTACTGTATTTGTATACCGCCTTTCTCAGCCTTTTGGCGACTCAAGGCGGTTTACAGACAATAAGTAATATAAATAATATCAAAATGCACATAAAAAACATTAAATGCAATATAAAACCACAACAGAAATAATAAGCAACAGCCAGGAGACAGGTAGAATCATAGAATCAAAGAGTTGGAAGAGACCTCATGGGCCATCCAGTCCAACCCCCTGCCAAGAAGCAGGAATATTGCATTCAAATCACCCCTGACAGATGGCCATCCAGCCTCTGCTTAAAAGCTTCCAAAGAAGGAGCCTCCACCACACTCTGGGGCAGAGAGTTCCACTGCTGAACGGCTCTCACAGTCAGGAAGTTCTTCCTAATGTTCAGATGGAATCTCCTCTCTTGTAGTTTGAAGCCATTGTTCCGCGTCCCAGTCTCCAAGGAAGCAGAAAACAAGCTTGCTCCCTCCTCCCTGTGGCTTCCTCTCACATATTTATACATGGCTATCATATCTCCTCTCAGCCTTCTCTTCTTCAGGCTAAACATGCCCAGTTCCCTAAGCCGACTCCTCATAGGGCTTGTTCTCCAGACCCTTGATCATTTTAGTCGCCCTCCTCTGGACACATTCCAGCTTGTCAATATCTCTCTTCAATTGTGGTGCCCAGAATTGGACACAATATTCCAGGTGTGGTCTAACCAAGGCGGAATAGAGGGGTAGCATTACTTCCCTAGATCTAGACACTATGCTCCTATTGATGCAGGCCAAAATCCCATTGGCTTTTTTGCCGCCACATCACATTGTTGGCTCATGTTTAACTTGTTGTCCACGAGGACTCCAAGATCTTTTTCACACGTACTGCTCTCGAGCCAGGCATGTCCCCCATTCTGTATCTTTGCATTTCATTTTTTCTGCCAAAGTGGAGTATCTTGCATTTGTCACTGTTGAACTTCATTTTGTTAGTTTTGGCCCATCTCTCTTATCTGTCAAGATCGTTTTGAATCCTGCTCCTGTCCTCTGGAGTATTGGCTATCCCTCCCAATTTGGTGTCGTCTGCAAACTTGATGATCATGCCTTCTAGCCCTTCATCTAAGTCATTAATAAAGCTGTTGAACAGGACCGGGCCCAGGACGGAACCCTGCGGCACTCCACTTGTCACTTCTTTCCAAGGTGTTTTTAAAGTCTCTTCCTCAGACCCCTTTCTCCTCTTAGGTGGCTTGGGGGCGGAGAAGCAGCAGGATTTCCTCCTTCTCCTCCCGAGGTGGCAGGCAGATGTAGTAAGCCACAGCCAGGAGACAGGTGTTTTTAAAGACTCTTCCTCAGTCCCCTTCCTCCTCTTAGCTGGCTTGGGGGCGGAGAAGCAGCAGAATTTCCTCCTTCTCCTCCCGAGGTGGCAGGCAGATGTAGTAAGCAACAGTCAGGAGACAGGTGTTTTTAAAGTCTCTTCCTCAGTCCCCTTCCTCCTCTTAGCTGGCTTGGGGGCAGAGAAGCAGCAGGATTTCCTCCTTCTCCTTCTGAGGTGGCAGGCAGATGTAGTAAGCAAAAGCCAGGAGACATGTGTTTTTAAAGTCTCTTCCTCAGTCCCCTTCCTCTTCTTAGCTGGCTTGTGGGCGACAGCCAGGAGACAGGATTTCCTCCTTCTCCTTCTGAGGTGGCAGGCAGATGTTGACACAATCACAGGCTGAACAGGCTGACTTACAACAGCTCAAATGTGAACAAGATTTTTTTTCTGTTTTGAAATTCCTCTATTTTGGCTCAAAATGGCATGTGACAGTTTTAAAACATGGATACATTTTCAGGCTTGACAACAGTTAACAACAACAAATACCACTGTGCACCACAAGTTTGTCATCCTGCCCTGCATATTTTGAGCAGTTCTGTTTTCCATCATGTTCTCTTTCCCCAAGATTTTAGAAAACTGCTGTCTTCTTCTCGTGTTTTGTAGGAGATCAGGTAGAGTCCAGCACTGCCGCATCCGCTCCTCAACTGACGGAGACACCATCAAGTACTATCTGACGGATAACCTCACCTTTGATAACATCTGTGACCTAGTCCAACATTATAAAGAAGCACATTTGCGTTGTGCGGAGTTTGAACTGCGCTTGACTGATGCTGTGCCTAACCCCAAGCCTCATGAAAATAAGAGGTACGTGGAGCCAAAAGGAAATTCTAGGGTGGAGTTGAAATGCTATTTTAAATGCAGCTACTTTTGTTTTTGTCACACTGACTGTGGCTTATGGTAGAGCTGGATTGACATAACAAGAGAATCTTAAGTAACCATAATAGTTGGCACTGAATCTGTATATTGACTCAGGGACTCTGAAAATAGAGTGTTTTAAGATTGCTGGATACACAGCAGCTCTCCAAGGGCCCATCCAGGCAGTACCTTATCCCAGGAGCTTCTGCAGCAAACGGGGGTGGCCAGATGCCGCTCCCTGTAAACAAGGAAGCAATCACTACAAAAGCCAAAAAAAAAAAAAAAATACAAAATTTCCAGGTGTGGGAATATTGCAGTTTTGATCTGAATATCCGGATCTTCGCATGTGTGTATGTCCCTGCAATCTGAAATCATGGGCTTTTTTATCTGGGTTTGTTCCCGGATTTTAGATGCTTGTTCCTGATTGGTCGGTTCCTAAAAAGAAGGTGACACTTGAGTAGAAGGCAAAAACTTTGTTTGTGTGCCAGAAACTTTATGACAGATGTGGAGGGCACCGTTTCTCTGGCCTGCACATAGAACTGAACTTTTGTGGTGATCTGCATAACCGAATATCCACATATCCGCATTTTTAAAAAATGGCCGGTTTCTGGCGGAAGTCCTGTGGCGGCCATCTTGGGAGCCTCTAAATCTCTGAATCAAGTCTGGACCACAGAGGCAGAAATCCCGGGACCTCTCCTGAAGTCCCGGGATTTTTTGCCCCTCACTAAAACACATGATTTAGTGCTGCCTGGAAGAGCCGCAAGATAGGAGAGGATTTAATTGGATATGATGCTCTCACCCTGGGTTTCTTTACTGGTTTACCTCTTTTTAAAAACATATCTATCTTTCCCTCTGGTTAAGTTTCTCCCCTGTGTTCTAGAGGAGTAGTTAAAGATTGCCATTCAGAGAGCGCCTTTCTAAATCTCCTGTATTGCAGGATGTCCTGTTTATTTTTTGTTGGGTTTCATTGCTGATGTTAGAGCACGCTACAGTTGGTTTCTTCCTATGCTGTTTATTTTCTTTTCCAAGAATTAACATGTGTTAAATTATAGTCGAATAACTGGCTAGACCCTCAGATGTCTGGGAGAGGTTTCCTGCCCTTTGATCGCCAGATTGACCTTTCATGATACCAATCTGATCTGACTTAACAGGCTAGTCTCTTGGGTTTCTCTCTTTCAAATTAATACTGCTAGATAAGAACCGGGGAGTGAAATCTCCAAGGAGAACAAAGTGGGGAGAAATCTCCCTGAAATGCTGAAGTAATAACAGCAAGAAGAGACCATGTTCTTCAGTTGTGTAGCAATAGCTTTGCACAGCTAGATGTTCTCTACTAGGAACATGAGCCCTAGATCAGCCATCATTTTTTTCTATCTTCCTCTTCCATCTGAGAAAAGCTAATAATAATAATAATAAGAAGAAGAAGAAGAACAAGAACAAGAACAAGAACAAAACAAGAAGAACAACAAGAAGAAAGGTGCTAATAATAATAACAACAACAACAACAACAATAATATGCTTGGGAAGTGTTCGACTTGTGATTATGTGATACGAAATCCATCATATAGATCTCATTTGCTGTGACATACTGTGTTTTTGTGTCAGAATAATAATAATAATAATAATAATAATAATAATAACTTCATTTGTTCCCCGTCACCATCTCCCCAAAGAGACCTGGGGTGGCTAACAAAACACTCAAAGTGCCACACATAAAGTAGAATTATTTATCATCAAAACAATACACAATTTTACTGAATACAAAACAATGGACAACATCAATCAATAATATTTAAAATTTAAAAAATTCTAAAACACAGTCATACCTGGGGATTTCTTCAAACGTGAACTAATGTGCTGAATAACAATAGCTGATGTCATCACATGAGCATAGTGCATTACTCTAGGTCAAAGGCTCATGTAAATAGCCATGTTTTTAGGTTTGAACGAAAGGTGTGGAGATTTGGGGCTAACCTAATCTCTTTTGAGAGGGTATTCCAGAGCCAGAGAGCCACCCCCAAGGAGGCCCCCTCTCTCGTTCCCACCAATCATTCTGAAGAGCCGACCCAGAAGGATACCATGGTCAATGGTATTGAAAGCTGCTGAGATGCCCAAGAGAACGAGCAGGGATAAACTCCCCTGTCTAGTCCTCTGCGGAGGCCATCCACCAAGGCAACCAAAGCCGTTTCCATTTCTTGACCAGGCCTAAAACGAGGGATCAAGATAATCAGTGTCATCCAAGCCACCACCTGTTCCAGAACCCTTCCCAAAAAAGCACCTGCCAGCCTAATAATCCTCACAGATTACATAGTTTACCTATGCCTTCCATACAGCCCTATATCCCAGAATATCAAGGCAGGAAATCCATGCATTATCTGAGCGTGGACTCAGATAACCCAGTTCAAAGTAGATATTGTGGGATTGTTGAACCTGCCCCTCTTTTGTCTGTGTGTATTTTTTTTTTACTGGGAAGTCAGTCACTTTTGCAAAGCAAGAGCATTTGGAATAAGTTATTTTGCTTATTTCAGAAGGGAAGGAAATGCATGCATTATTCATGTGGTTTTCTCAATGATGATATTGCTACCTGTGTTTAATGGAATTATGCAAGAGGAACTCAATTGACTTGTGTTGAACTTTACAACTTCCTCTCCCTCTGTTTTTACAGTTGGTACTACAGCAACCTGAGCCGCGGAGAAGCAGAAGACATGCTGATGCGAATTCCTAGGGATGGAGCCTTTTTGATAAGGAAGAGAGATGAACCCGATTCCTATGCTATGACCTTCAGGTCAGATACAAACTTCATTAACTCAAAAAACACAGGGCCACAGGGCAGTTTTTGGTGTGAGGGTTCTGTAGGATTGACCCTGTAGCCCTTTCCAAGAACCAGAAGCAAGTACATGGCAAAGTTTAAGTAGATTATTTATTTATTTATTTATTTTGTATGCTTATATACCGCAATATCTCAGCCTACAACGGCGACTCATTGCGGTTAACAGTACTTAAAAACAACAATAATCAAACAATTTAAAAGCATAAAAAAACATATACAGTACACAGTATCGGGCCACCAATACCGACCAATGCATCTCTTAGTTAAAATCATAATCCGAATTCATCGTCTATAATTACCAGTCCTTAGTCATCAACTTCATCGCACCGGATTACCCGAAAGCTTGTTCAAACATCCATGTCTTAAGTTTTTTCCGAAATACCAACAGCGAGGGAGCTGATCTTATCTCTATAGGGAGGGCATTCCAAAGCCGAGGGGCCACCACAGAGAAGGCCCTGTCTCTCGTTCCCGCCAGCCGCACTTCTGAAGCCGGAGGGAAAGAGAGCAGGGACTCTCCAGAAGATCTTAGGGTCCTGGTGGGCTGATAGGCTGAGATACGTTCGGATAGATATGTTGGGCCAGAACCGTTTAGGGCTTTAAAGGCCAATGCCAGCACTTTGAATTGGGTCCGGTAGCTAATCGGCAGCCAGTGGAGCTGGTACAGCAGAGGAGTTGTATGCTCCCTGCGCCCTGCTCCTGTTAGTACCATGGCTGCCGCCCGTTGGACTAGCTGGAGCTTCCGGGCCGTCTTCAAAGGCAACCCCACGTAGAGAGCATTGCAGTAGTCAAGGCGGGATGTAACCAGAGCGTGGACTACCGTGGCCAAGTCAGACTTCCCAAGGTACGGTCGCAGTGCGCACAAGTTTTAACTGTGCGAATGCTCCCCTGGTCACCGCCGAAACCTGGGGGTCCAGGCTCAGCGCTGAATCCAGGATCACACCCAAACTGCGAACCTGTGTCTTCAGGGGGAGTGCGACCCTGATGTTAAGCTGTATAAGAATGAATGGTGAACATATAATAGCCAGTAAGGAGCCAAAGCCACTTAATTGGTCAGAGTCCCCAAAGCAGCTGCACTTGGAAGATATAAGAATATTAAACTTACAAACAGCATACTTGCTCAGATCATATAACTTCAAAATGAAATAGAATGCAAGCTATTAGTCGAGGATCCAAAAGACAGTGTGTAGGAACTAGGTCTGTTTAGCTTGGGAAAGGGAAAGGACTAAGAGATGACATGGTGTAACCATCTTTCTGCATCAAATTGAGGCAATAATTTGATAATAAAATTATTATTATAAGATTATAAATTATTATAAATTATAAATTATGATAAAAATTATATTTAAAAGAAACCTGAATCAGCATTGATCCAAATCCCAGCAAACTCTGTTGAGCACCTTATCTGGACACATAATTGTGTCAAACTCTTACTTCGTTCTGCTTGCTGTGGCTGGTGGAAGAACGTTAGCAGCCATGAAAATACCTGAGAACAAAGATAGTAGAGATTTGATTTATTATGTTTTTTGTGTTGTGTTGGAAATGTTTTTCTCTCTAGATCAGTGGTTATCAACCTGTGGGTCCCCAGATGTTTTGGCCTTCCAGCTCCCAGAAATCCTAACGGGTTGTTAACTGGCTGGGATTTCTGGGAGTTGTAGGCCAAAACACCTGAGGACCACAGGTTGAGCACCACTGCTCTAGATAGAAATGTAATAAATATTAAAAAGCCTAGTTAGAGAAGGATTCAGGAATGGTAATTCTTACTTTCTGTACAAGATAAGTCCTCTAAGCCCTGAGAGTTATCTTTCTCAATCAGGAAATACAAATCTTGGTGGTATCTCTCAGACATAGTAAAATTGACTAGGTATTTTTAATTACAGAAATGTGAGTCAAGCACTGAAAGGGTTGAATGGATTCAATGATTCAGCAAAACTGCAGTTCTATATAAGCAGGTGTGCCTGTAGCTTAGTAGCCGCCAGTCTGAGGTAAACCTCAGTGGGAGAAAAGTCTGTGAAAAAGCCTCACAGTGTGAAGTAGATCTTAGTCTGTGAGAGAAGCCTCTGTGTGAGGTAGGCCTTAGTCTGTGAGGAAAGCCGAGTGTGAGAAGGCCTCACAGTGTGAAGTAGGCCTTAGTCTGTGAGGAAAGTCTGTAGGCCTTAGTCTGTGAGGAAAGCCGAGTGTGAGAAGGCCTCACCGTGTGAAGTAGGCCTTAGACTGTGAGAGAAGCCTCTGTGTTAGGTAGGCCTTAGTCTGTGAGGAAAGCCAAGTGTGAGAAGGCCTCACCATGTGAAGTAGGCCTTAATCTGTGAGAGAAGCCTCTGTGTGAGGTAGGCCTTAGTCTGTGAGGAAAGCAGAATGTGAGAAGGCCCGGTGAGAGAAGCTTTGGTGAGAGAAGCTCCACGTTGAAGACCTTGTGTGTGAAGCTCCTGTGTAAGTTCGGTGTGAGAGGAAGCTCTGTGAGAGCAAAGCTAGAAGCTGATTATCTGCATGATGAAGAAGCCCAGCATGGAAGCAAAGAAGGAAGTATAAAGCACTTTATTTGTGTTATGAAAACCTTGTTCTTCTAAATAGTACAACCATATTATTATTCTACAAAGAAAAGCCTCCTATGGAAGAGATAACATTGGTCTGTGTGTTTTTGTTCTTTTTATCACTTTGGGCTACTGGTGCTGGGTCACGCTGCTGCTAATAAGTTACCCTGATGTACAGTTATGAGGAGGGTCTTTTGTTAATAAGCCCACTCGCCCAACAGGATCTACATTCTGCAAAAGCTTTGACTCGTATAGCAAGTTCTTGCCTTTCCTTTCCAAAACGTGAAGGGTGACTGCACTGTCCATTTGGCATTTTTCAAACGCTTGGCCTTCCTAATTCCACAGAGCTGAGGGAAAAGTGAAGCACTGCCTGATCAAGCAAGAAGGACGCCTGTTTGTTTTGGGAACGTCAGCTTACTTTGAGAGCTTGGTGGAGTTGGTGAACTATTATGAGAAGCATCCATTGTACAGGAAAATGAAATTACGCTATCCTGTCACAGAGGAGCTGCTGGAACGCTACAGCATGGCAAGTGTCATTTCATGCCCTCCTTGTTTGTATGTCTCTTTTTCAAACCCAACCAGTTACCTGGCTTTTTTGTGTATCTAAATGTATTAACTTTATATGTACATTTTATAATAATAATAATAATAATAACAACTTTATTTATACCCTGCTCCATCTCCCCCAGGGGGACTCGGGGCGTCTTACCTGAGGCCACGCCCATCAGTACAGTAAACACAATATTATAACAAAACCAGAAAATAAAATACATAGAATGCAGAACCAGTATAATAGACAACACAGCAATATAAAATCAAACATTAAAACACAAAAGAATTACACTGGGCAGGGCCAAATTCAAAGATAAAAAAAATTAAAACACTGGGAGATAGGGCAATGTAAAATTGTCGGGAAGGGGGATCCGGGGATGAGGAAGGATTTAATTGCACAAACCATAAAATAAAGTGCTTCTGAGGTCATGTTATGCAAAGTTTGATCAGGGAGTGTCTTACATTCAATCATTGAAGGCACATTGGAATAACCAGGTTTTTAGGTTCCTCCTGAAGATTGCCAGTGTGGGGGCTTGCCTAATTTCTCTGGGGAGTGAATTCAAGAGCTGGGGGGCCACTACAGAGAAGCCCCCCCCCTCTCTCGTCCCCACAAGTCGCACTTGCAGTGCAGGCGGGAGCGAGAGAAGGGCCTCTCCGGAAGATCAAAGAGGTCGTGTGGGTTCGTAGACAGAAATGCGGTCACGCAGGTAGGCGGGTCCCAAACCATTCAGGGCTTTGTAGGTCAAAACCTGCACCTTGAATTGGGCCTAGAAAATGGCAGCCGCTGGAGCTCCTTAAACAGGAACATTTTTGTTCCCTTGGAAGTTTTCCCCTCATGTGTTTGCAGGTCTTTGCAAATCCTATATACTTATAGATATCCAGAGATATCCATGTACCTGTATATCTGTGTCTGTATGTATACATTATTTTTATATGAATTTTCCCCTCATGTGTTTGCAAATCTCTGCAAATCCTATATAGATATTGAAAAATTATAGATTTTTCCTATGTCTCATTCTGTGTGTGTGTTTGTGTGTGTGTGTGTATAATTTGATGTATGAATTTTCCCCTCACATGTTTGTAAGTTTTTGCAAATCATATATAGATATAATTATCTATATAGAGAGAGATGTATAGATAGATAGATATGAATATAGATAGATAGGGCTTGCAAATATTGCACACACATATATGTGTGTGTGTGAGAGAGATGTCTAGATAGATATAAATATAAATATATTTATTTTGTTTTCACTCTCAGGAGAAAGATCCTAGCTCATTATATGATGTCAAGATGTATGTGGAACCCACTGAAATAACACCATCAGTGGTATGTTACAATCAAAATTTTCTTCAGATGAAATTATGCATTTGGAAGGAGATTAGTTGAGAGGTTTTTTTTTTGTCTGAATTTCCTGTTTTGATAATGTCCTCTTCAGTATTTGATGGATGTGTGATGCCTATACTGTAGCATGAGATACAGTTGCATAGTATGCGTCTTAGAATATCTTCGTACCTTTGCCTTGAATAAAGCTTATTCTTTCCTTCTTCAAGCCTCTGAGAACAGTCAAAGCCTTATACGACTATCAAGCTAAAAGAGATGATGAGCTAACTTTTTGCCGTGGAGCCTTAATTCATAACGTCTTAAAAGAAAGCAGTGGCTGGTAAGATTGCTTTTATATTTTGATTGCTTTTGCTGAAAATTTTGTTATTATTTATTATTATTATTTAAAACATTTGTATTCCGCCCTTCTCACACCGAAGGGGACTCAGGGCAGAGCACAGCATATATATATGGCAATATTCAATGCCGGGACACAAATTCATATACGCATACATAAACATAATTTTTTTTATCAAAATACTAAAATACGCCATTAAAAACCATCCTAGTCATCAGCGCCAAATCTAATTGGACTGGTCATCTTTCCTATTGCCACTTTATTGCCCTGTCCCGAAGCTTGGTCCCACAGCCAAGTTTTTACCATCCGTATAAAGGACAGGAGGGAGGGGGCTGACCTGATCTCATAAGGAAGGGAGTTCCATAGCTGGGGAGCAATCACCGAGAAGGCCCTGTCTCTCGTCCTCACCAATAGCAGGACGGAAAGCAGGGCCTCCCTGGAGGATCTTAATCTCCACAATGGTTCATAGGGGGAGATGTGTTCAGACAGGTAAATCGGGCTGGGACCATTTAGGGCTTTATAGACCAAAGCCAGCACTTTGAATTGTGCCCGGTAGCAAACAGGCAGCCAGTGGAGCTGGCATAACATTGGAGTTGTATGCTCCCTGTATGCCACCCCAGTTATTAACTGGCTGCCTCTTGTTGGACTATTTGAAGCTTCCGCGCAGTCTTCAAAGGCAATCCCATGTAGAGTGCGTTGCAGTAGTCTATCATAGTTGTAATGAGAGCGTGGACTACCGTGGCCAAGTCTGACTTCCCAAGGGACGGGCACAGCTGGCACACAAGTTTTAATTGTGCAAAAGCTCCCTTGGTCACTGCTGCAACCTGAGATTCCAGGCTCAGTGATGAGTCCAGGAGGACCACCAAGCTGCAAACCTGTACCTTCCAGCACATACCCTGACCCTATACCCTGTTCGACCTTCCGACCAGGAGGACCTCTGTCTTGTCTGGATTCAACTTCAAGTTGCTCGCCCTCATCCAGACCGTCCCAGCGGCCAGGCACCAGTTCAGGACTTGGACAGCCTCCTTAGCATGTGGTGGAAATGAGTGATAGAGGTGGACGTCATCTTTGTACAGATGGCATGGAACTCCAAAACTCTGGATGATCTCACCCCGCGGCTTTATGTAGATGTTAAAGAACATGGGGGACAATACTGAGCCCTGCGGGACCCCACAGGACAATGGCTGTGGGGCCGAGCAGGAGTCCCCCAGAAACACCTTCTGGGTATGACTCTCCAGGAAGGACTGGAGCCACTGCAGAACAGTCCCTCCAAGACCCATCCCCGCAAGGTGCCCTAGAAGGATACCGTGGTCTACGCTATCGAAGGCCGCTGAGAGGTCCAGGAGAACCAACAGGGACACACTCCCCCTGTCGAGCTCTCTGTGACCATGGCTGTCTCAGTTGCATGTCCCGGTTTCAAACCTGACTGTGACGGATCCAGATAATTTGTTTCGTCCAAGAACCCCTGGAGCTGCGAGGCAACCGCATGTTCCAAGACTTTGCCCAAAAAGGGGAGATTGGAAACTGGCTGAAAGTTATAGCTAGCTTCATTATGACATATGTTGTTTCCTGATGCATTTTAAAAGCCTTTGTTCTTTCTCAATTTCTCAGGTGGAAAGGAGATTATGGATGTAAAGTTCAGCACTATTTCCCATCCAATTATGTGGAAGACATGTCATCTGATAGCATAGAAGACCTTGAGAACCAGGTGGGAAGATACAATGTTATTATTATTATTATTATTATTATTAAACTTTATTTGTACCCCGCTAGCATCTCCCGAAGGACTCGATGCGGCTTACAAAGGCCAATGCCTCAACAACAACAACAACAGACAATAACAATACAATGCAAGCAAATTAAAAACATAAGCAATAACAACAGCAAAACATAACACTATTACGCAGTAAAACCAGGGCCGGGCCAATGAAGGGTACAGGTTAAAAAAGTGCTGGGTGTAAGAGGTGATATGTTAGGATTCTGGGCAAGTGCAATGTGCAGAGAGTCTTAAGCTCTAATAAAGTGCTTCTGGGACATAGTGCTGGAGGTTATCCTATTCAGGAAAGGCACATCGGAATAGCCAGGTCTTCAAGTTCTTCCTAAAGACTGCCAATGTAGGTGCTAGTCTAATGTCTTTAGGGAAGGTGTTCCAAAGTCGGGGGGCAACCACAGAGAAGGCCCTGTCCCTCGTCCCCACCAAACGTGCTTGCGACGCAGGTGGAATCGTGAGCAGGGCCTCTCCGGATGAACGGAGGGAACGCGTGGGTTTATATATGGAGATGCGGTCACGCAGGTAGGCAGGTCCCAAACCGTTTAGGGCTTTGTAGGTAAGCACCTGCACCTTGAATTGGGCTCGATAGGTAAACGGCAGCCAATGGAGCTCCTTAAACAGGAGGGTTGACCTCTCTCTGTAAGCGGCGCCAGTTAACATCCTGGCCGCCGCCCATTGAACCAGTTGGAATTTCCGAGCCGTTTTCAAGGGCAGCCCCACGTAGAACGCATTACAGTAATCCAACCTAGAGGTGACTAAGGCATGGACCACCCCGGTACGGTCGCAGGTACGGTCGCAGCTGGTGCACAAGTCTTAGTTGTGCAAAAGCCCTCCCGGACACCGCCGACGCCTGAGCCTCAAGCGTAAGTGATGAATCCAAGAGGACTCCCAAGCTGCGGACCTGTGACTTCAGGGGGAGTGTAACCCCGTCCAGCACAGGTTGCCACCCTATACCCCGATCCGGTTTACGATTGACCAGGAGGACCTCTGTCTTGTCGGGATTGATCTTCAGCTTGTTCTCCCTCATCCAGATAGACACAGCGGCCAGGCACTCGTCTAGCACTTGAGAGGCCTCCTTGGAATTAGGTGAAAGGAGTAGTAGAGTTGTGTGTCATCTGCATAGAGATGGCACCTAACTCCAAAACTCCGATGACCTCTCCCAGCGGTTTCATGTAGATGTTAAAAAGCATGGGAGACAGAATAGAGCCTTGCGGGACCCCACAGGTCAAAGGCCAGGGGTCCGAGCAGGCGTCTCCCAGCTTCACCATCTGGGATCGACCCTCCAGGAAGGACCGAAGCCACGACAGAACCGTGCCCCCGAGACCCATCCCAGAGAGTCGTCCCAGAAGGATACCATGATTGATGGTATCGAAAGCCGCTGAGATGTCCAAGAGAACCAACAGAGTCACACTCCCCCCGTCCAGCTCTCTATGGAGGTCATCCGCCAAGGCGACCAAGGCCGTCTCGGTGCCATAGCCAGGCCTGAAACCAGACTGTGACTGATCTAGGTAGTTGATTAAAAACCCTGGAGCTGGGAGGCGACCACCCGCTCCAGCACCTTGCCCAAGAAAGGGAGGTTGGAGATTGGTCTGAAGTTGTTCAGCCCTGCGGAGTCAAGGGAAGGCTTTTTAAGAAGTGGCCGAACCACCGCTTGCTTCAATTGAGATGGAAAAATCCCCTGCTCCAACGATGCATTAATGATCAACACAAACCAATCTACCAACCCCTCCCTGGCCGATTTAATTAGCCAAGACGGGCAAGGATCTAGAGCCGACATGGTCGTCCTCACAGCGCCAAGGTCTCAAGAACAAGCTGAAAAGAATCCCACAAAGTTGGACAAGCAGATGCCTCAATCACCTCCCCTGCAACTGTGATGACATTGGAGTCCAGTTCAAGACGTATCTGAGCAACTTTGTCTGCAAAATGGTGTGCGAACTCGCGACACCGAGTTGCTGGGTCATCGAAGGTCTCCTCCACCACTGGTGGGTGAAGAAGTTCCCCGACAACCCGAAACAACTCCAATGATCTGTTTGCTACAGACGCTATACGGGTAGTCGTGAAAGACTCCCTGGCTACCTGTATAGCCACGGTATACGCCTTAAGAGAGGCTTTAGCCCGTGCTTGATCAGACACGCCATGTTATCATTTGTATGCCAGAATCTATGGCTTGTTTGGTTCACAAAATCCATCCAGATGCCCTTTCCCAGAATATGTCTTTGGTGACAAAACAGAATAGAAAATGCTATGACTGCAGTAAATTTTGTATACTAGTCTCATTCTTACAACCAAAGAATAAAAATATTTGTATTCAAATATAACATTTTTATTGCAGATAATTGAAGACAATCCTTTAGGATCTTTGTGCAGAGGTATTTTGGACCTCAATATGTATAATATTGGTATGTATATGCCTCAAATTTCTTATTTCTATTCTTCTGCAAGAAAAGAATACTTTTTGGTGTGGAGAGGTGTGATGCATAAAAATGTATGATGCATGGTTTGAATTGAATTGTATGAAAGATGTATAGTTGGGGTCTATATAGTCTTGAGATGCCATCCTAAGGATTAAGGTGTGGAAAACTACAAGAATGAGGTGAAGAATTCATGGACTGAAATTAAAAGTTCGTGTGGGTCTTGATGAATCCAAGGCTGGAGTTAAAATTGTTGGACAAAACATTAATGATCTTAGATATGCAGATGATACCACTTTGATGGCTGAAAGCAAGGAGGAGCTGAGGAGCCTTACTTATCACCAAGGTGAAAGAAGAAAGCACAAAAGCTGGGTTGCAGATAAACATAAAAAAAACCAACTCCAAGATGATGGCAACCAGGCTAATTGATAACTGGCAAATAGAGGGAGAAAACATGGAGGCAGTGACTGACTTTGTATTTCTAGGCACAAAGACGCAGCCAGGAAATTTATTTATTTATTTATTTACAGTATTTATATTCTGCCCTTATCACTGCGCAGGGGACTCAGGGCGGATTACAATGTACATATACATGGCAAACATTCAATGCCATAGACACACAACATATATAAACAGACACACAGAGGCTATTTAACATTCCAGCTTTTCTTGAGGGTATTCTGACCACCAGGGGAGCTGTCCCTTCACCGACCATTTGCGACTCTGATGAAGTACTTCCTTGTTCTTTGCATGCTTGCTGGAGATTTTTATGGGCTCGTAAATTAGTTAAATTTTCCTCCCCACATAAGCGATACCTAAATTTCCTACTTGACAGATGCAACTGTCTTTCGAGCTGCAAAGGTCAACAGCAAACTACACAAAATTGGTCAGAAGCTCAGTCTGACCTGGAAGTACAGCATTAACTCATGTTTAATGAAATTTTTGAGAAACTATGCAAGAGAAGTGAATTTGGAAGTGAGGTGGACTTTTCATTTAAGGTGAAGATGATGATATATTGATTACTTTTCATTCTCAATAGCAAAAATGCCTCAAGGAAAACACGGGAGGAATTTTGTCTTCATTCTGGAACCCAAGAACCCAGAGGATCCGCCTGTTGAGTTTGCAGCTGAGAAAGTGGAAGAGCTATTTGAGTGGTATCAAAGCGTTAGGGAAATCACATGGAGGACAGCCGAAGAGGTAACCGATGCTGCAACTTACAAATTTCTGTTCAGAAGCTAGATATAATGATTCATATTGATTTGAGCAACGGTCAAAGGATGCTGTTGGAATTTCATTGCAAGCGAAGATAAAAAGTTGTTCAATCCCTGCTGCCTTCCCTCACGTTGCATGTTTGCCCATGTGTTGTTCCTGTGACCATAACTTTATTTATTTATTTATTTATTTAGTTATTTATTTATTTACGACATTTATATGCCGCCCTTCTCACCCCGAAGGGGACTCAGAGCAGCTTACAAGATATATATACATACAATATATTATATTATTAGTATAGTACAATATCAGTATTCAATATTACTATATTGTACTATACCATTATATAGTAATATTATTAGTAATATTACATGTAATATAAAATATATAATTATAATATCATATTAGTAGTAGTATAATATTGTATTACATTATAATATTATAAATGTTACTAGCCGTCCCCTGCCACGCTTTGCTGTGGCCCACATGGCTGTTCTGTGTGGAAGGTTTGGCCCAATTCTATCGTTGATGGGGTTCAGAATGCTCTGGGATTGTAGGTGAACTATAAATACCAGCAACTACAACTCCCAAATGTCAAGATTCTATTTTCCCCAAACTCCACCAGTGTTCGCATTTGGGCATATTTAGTATTCGTGTAGAGTTTGGTCCAGATCTATCATTGTTTGAGTCCACAGTGATCTCTGGATCTCGGTGAACTACAACTCCAAAACCAAAGGACACTGCCCACCAAACCCTTCCAGTATTTTCTGTTGGTCATGGGAGAACCGTGTGCCAAATTTGGTTCAGTTCCATCATTGGTGGGCACCAATTCTCACCAACTACAACTCTCAAATGACAAAATCCATTTTTGAGTGAAGGACATACATTGGGTTGTTAGGTGTCTTGTGTCCAAATTTGGTGTCAATTCATCCAGTGATTTTTGAGTTCTGTTAATCCCACAAACGAACATTACATTTTTATTTATATAGATATGCATACACAATATATTAAATTACATTGTATTATATTATTAGCATAGCACAGGAGACAAGATGGAACTTATTATTATTATTATTATTATTATTATGGAGCCCCCAGTGACGCAATGGTCAGGGCTGCTGACCAAAAGGTTGGTGGTTCAAATCCGGGGAGCAAAGTAAGCTCCTGTCTGTCAGTTCCAGCTTCCCATGTGGGGACATAAGAGAAGCATCCCGCAGGATGGTAAAACATCTGGGCAATATCCTTGCAGACAGCCAATTCTCTCACACCAGATGCTACTTGCAGTTTCTCAAGTTGCTCCTGACACACATATAAAAATATTATTTTTATTTATATTCTGTTTTTTTCTCTCCATAAGGAGACTCAAGACGGTTAACATTAAAATCACTAAAATACAATTTAAAATTCACAAATATCAAATCGGTGTTAAAAATCATTTGTATTTAAAAAATTAATTACCTTTTATTTCCTTCCTTCCCCATTAGATTTTTGTCCCAGTGTGTGACAAAACTTTGGGTGGTGAAAAGTGATCAAATTTGAGTCATTGCGTAGTATTTCTTGCCTATCTATTTAATTGGATCAGTATAACTGTCTTGAATGAATGTCTCAGTTCTTCCTAAGTTTTCCTTTTATTAAATCTATGAAACAGGCAACCATCAGGGTATACTGGGAGAAGAAGCAGTTAATTGCCATGGAGTTATCCGACTTGGTTGTCTTCTGCATACCTACAAGTAAAACCAAGGACAACTTAGGTAATTCCTATGTAATTATGAATCCGAACCCCTGATCTGTTAACTTGTAAGGCATGAAGATTTTTAAGAAGTGGTCTTTTTTCAAAACAGGTAAATGCTTCTGTGCTTTGATAAGCCGCACCGAGTCCCCCTGGGGAAAATGGAGGGCGTATAAATAAATAAATAAATAAATAAAAATAATAATAATTATTATTATTATTATTTCTCTTCAACATTCTTGTTATTGTATCTCAGCATAAAATAATATCTAAATATTCAGTTAATAAAGGCTTCCTGCCCCTTCCTTTTACAGAAAATCCCAATTTCAAAGAAATCCGTTCCTTTGTGGAGACCAAAGCGGAAGCCATTGTCAGGCAGAAGCCTGTTGACCTGCTCAAATACAACCAGAAGGGATTGACACGCATCTACCCCAAAGGCCAGAGAGTGGACTCTTCCAATTACGACCCTTTTCGGTTCTGGTTTTGTGGGGTGCAGATGGTGGCTCTGAATTTCCAGACTCCAGGTAAAAGCCTCTTTACAGTAGTGCTCTCTCCCCCCGTTTTTATCAATAAACTCTACTTTCCTTCTGTAATGTGTCGCTTGGGTCAAATGTGTACCCAGTTGCAGCAATATGTGTTTTGGTGAAAACGTTCTTGTGACAAATCCATCTCAATTTCAATTTGCCAATAGCCAGTTTTCAGTAAACCTAACCAATACTATACCCCTCCTGCAAGTGGAAACAAAAAGAAACTCTTACAAGGAATTATTTATTTTGTAATCGCTTGTTTCAACAGTCAATTGAAGCCATGTCCAGTGAGCAAAAGGGATGTTATCAATCCAGGCTATTTTATAGAATCCTAGAGTTGGAAGAGACCTCATGGGCCATCCAGTCCAACCCCACTCTGCCAAGAAGCAGGAAAATTGCATTCAAAGCACCCCCGACAGATGGCCATCCAACCTATGTTTAAAAGCTTCCAAAGAAGGAGCCTCCACCACACTCCGGGGTAGAGAGTTCCATTTAGCCGTTCACCTTATCATAACAATCATATGGTCCAGTTCAAGGTCCAAAGTACCGTTGTGCTTGCTAGCCAAAAGCCTGGTTCCAAAACCACAATTTCAGTTTTTTCCTAAAGGAAAGGAGGGAGGACACTGATCTAATCTCGCTGGGGAGCAAATTCCACAAGTGGGGGGGGGTCACCACCGAGAAGGCCCTGTCCCTCTTCCCCACCAACCGCATTTGCGAGGCAGGTGGGACCGTGAGCAGGACCTCCCCGGTGGATCTTAAACTACGAGGTAGAACATAGAGGGTGATATGTTCAGGCAACTAAGTTGGGCTGGAGCCGTATAGGACTTCATAGGCCAAGACCAGCACTTTGACCAGCACTCAGAAATGGACCAGCAGCCAGTGGAGTTGACATAGCGGGGGGAGGGGGGGCTCCCTGTATGGTGCTCCGGTGAAAAATCAGGCTGCCGCCCATTGGACTACTTGAAGTTTCTGAACAGTCTTCAAAGGCGTCTTGGTCTTTGTAAACTTTCCTGAGAAGTTCTTTGTTGACGGAACATAAATCTCCTATCTAACTGTTCATTAGTCTGTCCACCTGGACTTTCAGTTTCCTCCTCTGAACTCTGATTTGCTACTGACCTCGCTTCCCTAACAAACTGCCTTTCAGGAATGTGGCCTTCAGACACAGACTGCTCATTTTCAGGGCTTAAAATCTCTTGCTGGCTCCTCTGCTGACCTCCAGACCCAAAATTCCCAGTGTCATCAGAATGCCTAACAGGCCCAGAATCCCCAGAGAGATCAGATGCAGGCACAATCAAAGGCTGAACTACAACACAACCAGATGTGGAGTAGTAGGTCTTGTAGAGAGCCATTCTTGATAAGGGGTGATATCAATCTTATGGGAAAGCAAGCTCCCCCTCCCCCGTGTTTGTTTTCTATACATCTTGGTGGAAATTGAGGTTTCTTGGCTTCATTATTTATTTATTTATTTATTTATTTGTAACCATCCAATCAGCTGTTTGGCTTCATTATTTGTTCATTTGGAATTTCATCCTTCCCTTCGGATGGATTAAAACATGAAATCTGGCTGACACAACTGTTCTGATTTTTTCTCCAGATAAATACATGCAAGTGAATCAAGCCTTGTTTTCACTTAACGGCCGGACTGGATATGTCCTGCAACCAGAAAGTATGAGGAACGATGCATATGATCCTCTGCCAAATGAATCAAAGAAGAAACTACAGATGATTTTGGCTGTGAGGGTAAATAATCTTGAACATGTTTTTAAATGAAATTTATGATATTAGGGGTATGGCGCTGTCAAACCATAGTTTTGCTGAATCTATATCTATAAATCTGTAGGGGGCGTCGTACGGCGTCGCATAACTCCTCAACCCCCCAACGAAACTGAACCAAAATTGCCATGCCCCTAGGACAACCCACTCGCTACAAACTAATCTACTCCACAATACAAAAAACACAACTGCAACGACAAAAACCCCACAAAACAACTGAACATGCGCACTGGCGCAAACTCCCCGGCACGCGCGCACCCGCCGCCCCTCGCCCCCCCCGGCGGCACACACGCGCGCGCGGCGGAAACTCCCCGCCACGCGCACACCCGCCGCCCCTCACCCCCCCCCGCGGCACACGCCGCGCGTCGCAAACTCCCCGCCACGCGCGCCCCCCGCCCCCCCCCCCCCCCCCCGGCAGCACACACGCGCGCGCGGCGGAAACTCCCCGCCCCCGCCGCCCCTCCCCCCCCCCCCGCGGCACACGCGCGCGCGTCGGAAACTCCCCGCCACGCGCGCACCCGCCGCCCCTGCCCCCCCCCCGCGGCACACACGCGCGCGCGGCGCAAACTCCCCGCCACGCGCGCACTTGCCGCCCCTCACCCCCCCCTCCCCCGCGGCATTACCGTTGAAAGGGACAGTCCAGAAGAAATGAGAGAAGAAGGGACCCCAAGGGGCCATCCGCCCCCCCCCCCCGGCAGCACACACGCGCGCGCGGCGGAAACTCCCCGCCACGCGCACACCCGCCGCACCTCCCCCCCCCCCCCGCGGCACACGCGCGCGCGTCGCAAACTCCCCGCCACGCGCGCACCCGCCGCCCCTGCCCCCCCCCGCGGCACACACGCGCGCGCGGCGCAAACTCCCCGCCACGCGCGCACTTGCCGCCCCTCACCCCCCCCTCCCCCGCGGCATTACCGTTGACACGCACAGTCCTGAAGAAATGAGAGAGGAAGGGAAAGAGAAGGAGTGAAGGAGCCAAAGGGGGAAGGAAGGAGAAAAGGAAATAAAGTTAAAGGAAACAGAAGGAAGGAGAGAAAGACAGAGGGAGGGAGGGAGGGAAGGAAGGAAGGAAGGAAGGACAGAGGGAACGAGGGAAAGGCCGACGGCGGGCCAGGAGGGGCCCGGCTCCGCCTCTGCCGCCTCCTCCTCTCCAGGAAGACCCGGGAATCTCCCCCTCTTACCGTCGTCGCTGCGCCTGACGTCACCGGCCCTGCAGGTGGGTTCTGGGAGAGGCGTGCCACTCCGCAGAGACACGCCCCCGCCAACAAAGGGGCCGGCCAAGCAGGACGCCCCAGTGAAGGAGGCCCACAACGTCGCCTTGGCAACTGCAAGGCCCCACCCCCCGCCCGCCCACCCTCCAACCCCCACACTGCCTCGCCAGGGGGATCCAAGAGAGAGAGACATCCCTACTACCGTTCCTTCCAGACAGGGGTCTCCCCCGCTGTCATACCGGTTGTGGGTGCACCACCACAGTCGGCCACAACATCACGGAGGGGAAGGGGGAGGCAGACACAGAACGAAGGAAGGAATGAGGGAGGGAGGGAGGACGAGAAGGAAGGAAGGAGGGAAGGAAGGAGGGAAGGAAGGAGAAGGAGGAGGAGAAGGAAGGAAGGAAGGAAAGACAGAACAACTAAAGGGAGGAAGGAAACAAAAAAGGAAGGAGGGAAAGGAGACAGGGAAGACTGAAATGGAAGGACGGAAGGAAGGAAGGAAAGGACATTACATCTATCAGGTCACTGAGAAACCATCACTCATTAAAACACTGAAAAACACCAAAGGCAAGACTTACAAACCCAAGAAATCCACTACAATGCATCCACATAACCATTAAGTCCAGTTGTCTCCGAATTCGGGGAATGGGGGGGTGTTGGTGCTCATCTCCATTTCTAAGCCCTAAACCCGGCCCTATCCATACACACCTCCAAAGTCATGAGCCCATGAATACCACTACTTTCTCACTACTACATTTTCCAAAACAACACACTACGCCACAGCAACGCGTGGCCGGGTACAGCTAGTACTATCTATATAAATAAAAATGTAATGTTTGTTTGTGGGATTAGCATAACTCAAAAACTACTGGACGAATTGACACGAAATTTGGACACAATGCGCCTAAATAGTTGAACTAGTGTCCATCACCCCTAAACACACACACACACACACACAAAACCCCAGCGGAACAGATGAAAAAAACGCAAAAAATACACCTTATATACACATACACTCATATACATATACACATGCACACATTCATACACACATGTATATGTGTGTATAGAAACACACACAAATGTACACATATACACACATATACATACACACATATACATGTACACATGAACACATACATGCACACACATATATACATATACACACATATATACACAAACATGCCTATAGACAAGTACACACATATACACAATATGCATGCACACATATAAACACACATACACGCATATATATACACACACACATACACATACAAACACACATTTATACACAAATATATACACACACATAAACATATATGCACACACACAAAACACATATACACAGACTAAGCCACAGCAACACGTGGCAGGGGGCGGCTAGTTTGGTAATATAACATCACTAGCTTTTGTGAGGATAAACATGCTAAATAGACGTTGTGTGGTTTTGGATTTTAAGAATGGACTCTTTAGAAAATGCATAAGGATATGGGTAAACTGCAAATCCCGTCATCCTCTGTCAGTGTCCCCAAACAGTATCAGTAGTTAAAAGTTGGACATGATGGCTATGTGTGCCATGCTTGGTCCAGATCAATCGCTGATCAAGTTCACAGTCCATTCGGAATGTGGGATAACTACAACTCCCATCATCCTGGGTCCCTCCCCCAAACCCCTGTAACCTTTAAAGTTTGTCATGTCGAGTCTGTGTGCCAGATTTGGTCCAGATCCACCATCATTTAATTTCAGAATGGTCTTTGATTGTGGGTGAACTACAAGTCCCAGCATCCTGCCCCCCCCCCAAAAAAAACCCCCACAGCTCTAGTATTTTAAGTTGTTCATGTTGAGTCTGCATACCAAGTGTGGTTCAAATGCATCATCACAGGGAGTCACAGGGCTCTCTGGATGTGGGAGCCATCTTGAAAAGTATCTACACATAATATTTTAATTTTTATTATATACATATATAGATAGATTGTAAAAGAAAAATAACCTAAATGAAATTCTATCATTGTCTTTGGAATATAATTTTGCCTAGTTTCATAGTTTTGACCAGCAAGTTCTCGTATAGAGGGTAGCCTAACCTTAAATGTATGTTTTGCTTTGAACTGTTTACATTATTTAAGCACAAACTCCCAAACCATCAAATGGGAGCCTGTGAATCCTTACTGTTGAAATCAGTTGTGCACTTTGTGTTAAAAAGTGGTGGCATTACTGCATTTTTGCTGCTTGGATAGTCGCTTCTTGGAGATTTTTGAATGTATCAATGACTGATGTAACATATTGAAAATAATGACAAGATACTTGATTAAAATAGGTAATTGGTGCTCGCCATCTTCCCAAACCTGGTAGAAGTATTGCCTGTCCATTTGTAGAAGTGGAAATTTGTGGGGCTGAATATGACAACAATAAATTTAAGACGACTGTTGTGAGTAAGTACGGTTTTAACTTTTTAATGGAAATTTCGGTTCTTGTTGATATTATAAAAGAAGACTTGTTTTGAGATTGAAGAGTGTTCGACTAGAAAAAGTGAGGTCTGTCATAATCATGATGTAAAAATTATACAAAGAACAGGGAAACTTGAAATGTCTACAGTATTGCTTTGGCCTTTTCTTAAAAACATTAGTTATGAACTGAACAAAATCCATTTAGTGGACATGTGCGTGTGGAGAAAAGCAAACCACAGACTATCTATTACAATGCAACCTGAGCCCTGCTACAATGGAGGACCTTCTTATAGCAACACCAGAGGCACTCCAAGTGGGCAGCTACTGGTCAAAGGACATTTAATAGAATGCCAAGTTTTCAAACTGTGGTTTTTTAAAAAAATTAAATACAATTCGACTGATTTGCTCCTGATACAATAAATAAATAAATTTAGTGGAGCGAATTGTCCATGAATTTAATAGCATTATTGAAATCAGTGGGACATTGGATACATTAGCTTCCACTTACTTGGCTTCTTGCATTTGCATCATATATGTGGGTACTTATAATTACCATATATATTAGATTTGTCTCATAATGAGACGAAAGCAGGCATGATGGAGGTCACATTGTGGACTGGGGCAGAGGAGATGGGCTGGGCCAGACTAGGAGGGAAGGTCGGGGGGAGGCTGAGGGCAGTTGGTGTGGAGGGGCAGTTGGTGCAGGGGGTGGGGAGAGGGTTTCACATGTGGCTGCCCAGGACTCTCAGGAGAACCCTAGGCCCTCTTCTCATCCTGGGGATGTGGTGGCTTGCTGAAAGCTCTGAAGAGCTCTTGGCCACTGCGTGACTTTGCCTCAGTGCTCCTCACCCAGATACCTGCTGCTGAGGCAGAGATTGGGGGGGGATGGTTGCTGTTGGGCTGCTGGACAGCTGGGTGGGTGTGTTGCACTCCAGAACAGGAATAACCCTCTGAGTTTAAAGCACCACACATTGAGTAGGAAAACAATGCTTTTTTATTGAAGATAGGTAAAATAAGCAAGGTAAAAATATGCTTTAAGAAAATAGATAAGTCCAATAAGGTAGGACGAAAAGCGGGAACAAAGTATTCCAAGGCAGGGTTCAGCAAAGTTCAAAAGCAAAGTTCAGACTTTTGTAATAAAATCCAAAGAACCACAGTATATAATCCCAAGAGACAAAGAGTCAAACCATGAACAAGAAATCCTTAACATGAATCTTCCAAGCAAGGCTTCCATAGAACAAGAACCAGGACTTAGCAGGATTCTGAAATGATGCTTCATCTGACTATATTTTCCCTGGTGAGAACTTTATATCCCAACACCCAGAAACTGGTTTCGTTTTCCTTGACTGCCTCTCACCCTTATCTCTCAAAGCCACTGGGTCAGGGAGTAAATTATCATCCCTATACCCTATAGGAACGTTCTCATGTGAAACTATACTTTGAACCGGTGTACCTATGTCATTCTCTGCATTAATATCATTGTCCAAACTATCTGGACCCTCAATGATATCATTCCCCACATCAGAAGCACCTTGATCCTAAACACAAACACAGACTGACCTCCAACAGGGCAGCGAGTGGCAACTCTGGGTGGGAGTTTCTGACGCCTCCTGGCAGCGGGATCACCTCCTCCTCCCTCTTGCTCTTCCTCCTCCTGATCTTCTAAGTTCTACATGGAGGTCATGTATCATGTTCGATGTCATATATCATGTTCTCTTAGTAGATGGTAGTTGGTGGTAACAGGCCTAGCAGTTGGTGATGGAAGGAGTTAATGTAAGTCTTAGTTCTAAAGAGCTAAGTAATCTGTAAGTAAGAGTTTACAGGTGAAAGCAGTTAAGGATGGAGGCATGCAAGGGATAGGTTGCAGCTGGGTTTTACTGGTTATAAGGAGCTAACCTGGAGATTGATCTCGGGAGAAAAGTATTCTGTCACATTGCTAGGGCTCTGCCGGTACATAGGTAGAGGTGAACCAAAACCAACAACCAGTAATCTTCTTCTCTGAATCTACAATTTGGTGATGGATCTGGGCATTGTATGTTTTTACCCTGTTTCCCCTTCCCTTCTGCTCCCTCACCCCGTATTGTGCTTCAGTCGTTATATTTATATTTTTAATGTACCAAACATACCAAGTTTGTATGAAAATGTGACTATTTTCTGTGCTGGTCAATGACCGAAATAAATGATTTGATTTGATTTGATTTGAACAACCAGCTTGTGTCAAACTGTTTAATTAAAGCAGCACTTACTTTCTGGCTGTTTTTATAGTCCAAATAAAGACAACATAAAGATAGCACTCAGCCACAGCATATAAAACAAAGACTGATAGCAAATTCTGATGCAGGTCAAAGGTCTAGTCCAGTGGTCAAATGCCAAGAGTTCAATGAGTAAAGTCCAAGGATCAAGAGTCTATACCATAGTCAAAAGCCAATCCAGAAATTCAAGGTTCCAAAGTTCCAAGAGTTCAGGTGACAGGTCAGGATATCGAAAATCCACAAACTTGGGGGAAAACAACCAGCATCCACAGTCAAAATATGACAATACTTTTCTCCCAAGATCGGCCTAGCTCCTTATAACCAGTAAGACCCAACTGCAACCTATCTCTTGCATGCCTCCACCCTTAACTGTTTTAACCTGTACACTCTTACTTACAGATTACCCAGCCCTTTAGAACTAAGTCTTATATTAGCCCCTTCCATCATCAACTGCTAGGCCTGCCACCACTAACCACCATCCACTGAAGAATGTGATATATGACACTGGAGGGCACTGGGACTTTTCTTGGCACATGGACTGACCATCACAAACATGTCAAGGCGAGGGGCATGGAGTGCGCAGGGAGCCTACTGGGAGCAACGCCAGGCTGGGCGTTGCATGGGGTGACAGTAACAGCAACAACACAGGCAGCAGGAGAGGCAGTCCCTAACTGGTCCCTGGCCCCTCACCCCACATGGTTAGAAGACAGCGAAAGGGGAGACCCACTCTCATTCTCCACCCATGGACTCCCTTTTTTTGAAGGGACTCCTCGGTAGTCCCAACACCATCTTCCAGGTGGAAGGAGACATGGAAGTCCCTTTGGATAGGCTCCTGACTCCTCCCCAGACCACCCTGGCTTCCTCTGGCCATGTCCGCATGCTGAAAGGAGGGCCGAGGCAGGCGAGGGCCTAAGGAAAAAGCCTGAGGGGCTGCCCCCAGGCCTGGGCTTGCCCATGCCTGCACTAAAGATAAAGAAATACCTGACAGCTCTTAATTTATTTCAGCAGCAGAGCAAATTATTAACTTTAATTCAACCAATCGCTAGTTGATACTTGTTGTTGTGTTCATATTACGCATGTGATCTCATGCCGTGGAATAAGGGTTTGCTATATCTAAGAGTAAAATCAACGTTAATTTTTCTGAAATAAACATTTAGTGAAGTGGTACCAGATGTCTTCCTAGTTGACGTCTGCTCCCCAAAAGTAACTTTAACAGAGATTTTTTAAAAACTGTGAAGTATACTATATAGGTAGATAGACAGATAGATAACAACAAGAGCAAATGTGATAATCAAGGAACAAGTTTTCAGCAAAATCCATGTAATGAACTGAAATAAGACCAACACATTCATCTATCTAATTTCAGATGACAATGGCCTTAATCCCATTTGGACGTCTCAAGAACCAGTGAAGTTTGAAATTTATGACCCAAGCCTTGCCTTTCTGCGTTTTGTGGTCTATGAGGAAGACATGTTTAGTGATCCCAACTTCTTAGCACATGCCACTTTTCCTATCAAAGGAATCAAATCAGGTAACTATTGTGTGTAATTAAGTTAAGCCAAAAAGAATTGTGAAAGTTTGCACCATTCCTTTGGTTTTCAGGAGGCAAGTGATATGTTTGTCCTGGTGCGTGGCTGGCTGCACTTCTTCAAGGAGATTAAAAAGAGTTTCTACTTTACCTTATTCACTCGTTTTTTGTTTTTGTTTTTTTCCGCATCTTTCTTAGATATTGTATCTGGAAGTAAGTCTAAAGTATTTTAGTTTAGCTTTCCTGATCAAATGAGACCATGGATCTTTTGTTGTTCTTCCTGTTTGCAAACTTTTGGCTCTCTTACTTACCTAGAGCTTAAGTAATAATTCTTCGGTTGTTTCCCATACTTTGCTTATTCCAAAACTTGTGGCAATCTGCTATGCTAGATGTATTTGGGAGAAAAACTGTTGAAACATTTCCCTTCCTGAACAATACGTTGTTTACCTTCTGTCTAAATTTATATCTTGCCTTTATTTATTTATTTATTTATTTATTTATTTATTTATTTACTGCACTTGTAGACCGCCGTTCTCAGCCCTAGGGCGACTCACGGCGGTGTACAACATATAAAAAACAATTTACAATAAGGCAATTACACAAACAACAATAGCAACATCACTATTAATAATACAATTACACTAAATCATTCACGACGTCTCATCATAGAATCACAATCCAATCTCGTTTTCCATATTCCGTTCCAATCATCATTGCCAATTGTTGTAGCACTTAGTCAAATGCCTTCTCAAACAACCACATCTTTAGTCTCTTGCGGAATGTCATAAGGGAGGGCGCCTGTCTGATGTCTACAGGGAGGGTGTTCCACAACCAAGAAGGCCCTATCCCTTGTCCCCGCCAGGCGTGCCTGTGAGGCAGGCGGGATCAAGAGAAGGGCCTCCCCAGACGATCTCAAAGTCCTCGTGGGCTCATAGGCCGAGATGCGGCCTTTGTTGACAAGTAGCTGGGGACCCAGCAATGCCTGGGTGAATTTGAAAATAAGCATATTTTTAATATTCTAAAATGCATAAAGTTGTGTGTGAACTACAACTCACATCATGCCAGGTGAACCTCCTGAAACTCCATCAGTAGTTACAGTTGCATCATTGGTGGGGTTCGATATAATCTGGTTGCAAGTAGGTCAGTCCCCTCAAATCCATCCAGTAAGTTCAGTTGATCACAGGGGTTCTGTGTACCAAGTTTGGTCCAGATCCATCATCAGTGGTGGTCAGTGTCTCTGGATGGCAGTGAACTACAACTTCCAGAAATGTCTGAAGTGGGATAGGTCAGTTTCCTTCCAAACTCCTCCAGTATTTTTAGTTGGTCATAGGTGTTCTATGTGCCAAGTTAGATCCAGGGCCATTGTTGGTATGATAACCAACAATGAAATGATAACAGAGGATGTAGGAGAGCCTCTTCTGGATGGATTTGATTCCATTTGAGGTGAGTTGAGTTCTCTTTGATTGCAGATAAACTATAAATCCCAGGTGGATATAAATCAAGGTGAGTCCCCCCTCCCCCAATCCTCTCCAGTATTTTTCTTTGGTCATGGAGGTTCTGTGTGCCAAATGTGGTCCGGGTCCATTGTCAGTGGGGGTCACGGTGCTCTGACTTGATGAAGGTTGAACTATTTATTTATTATTTATTTATTTACAGTATTTATATTCTGCCCTTCTCACCCCGCAGGGGACTCAGGGTGGATTACAATGTATACATGACAAACATTCAATGCCATAGACATACACAGAGACAGACACAGAGGCAATTTAACATTCCAGCTTTCCTTGAGGGTATTGTGGCCACCAGGGGAGCTGTCCCTTCACCAACCATTTGTGATACTGATGTACTTCCTCATTCTTTGCATGCTTGCTGGAGATTTTTATGGCCTCGTAAATTAGTCAAATTTGCCTACATATTTTCACTTTTATTATGTGTATAGATGAGTTCTTGAAGAAGTTGGTCTTCTTTTGTTGTGTGCTGAACTACATAAAATAACTTTTTAATAAAGGCATCGGAAGTAAAGCAATAACAATTTAAATTCCTATCAGATATTGCCAGTTTTGCTATTGAGAAGGAGACAACACGATGTCGTTTAGAAGAAAGAAAGTGCCAGTTTTGTGATATGATCTTCCTTTTTGGAGTTATTGGTTCTGTGACCTCAAACTTATTTATGTGATTTCAGTAAGAAACCTGGCTTTAATTCTGTTGCTGTCTCCACCACACGATGAATCTGGAATGCTTCCTGAAATATATCCCTGCTAAAGTTTTTTTTTTCTTTTTCTGGCTAGCTTAGATTCTCTACTTTTGCTTTTTGAACTATTGCAGAAATGCAGATCCTTTGGGGCAGCTTGTGGTTTTTTCCAGCTCTGGCTCATGTGCCTGTCTTGCGATTCTCCACGATGCCCTGTCTTTCCTGCTCTGCCTGCTGCTTCCTAGTAAACCTCCAAACTCTGTTCTGCTCTCAAGAATAGAAGAGGTGAGCTACGGCCATTCCGTCCTGTCTGTGCCTCTGTGGCGGCCTGGAAGGTATAACTAACTTTTCTGATTTTGCCCTTTTAGGCTTTCGGTCAGTCCCTCTCAAAAATGGCTTCAGTGAAGATATAGAACTGGCTTCCCTTCTGATTTATTGTGAGAAGCAGCAGATCCCAGTAAGTACGGTTGGTTTCTTTCTTGCAGAACCTCTGCTATCGACCATAGGCTGTCTGAAGTGGGATAGAAAATAATTAGGGGTCCTTCATTGTTTTTGTATTCACAAATACTGATTTTGACACTAGTTTCCTGATTATAAACTGCCTCTCAACTTATTTTACCTGTTGTATGGGGAGAAGGGGGTCCATTCTGCTGATGCATAGACCATGGTTGAAGGACCTTTATATCTGGAGGAAGGGACAGTTTGAACCAAGAAAAGTTAATTAAGAACTGAGTTAAGTATAAACTGATACAGGATTCCAGCCAGTGTTCCCAGCTGTGAAATATTTTTGCCAAAGCTAGAGTGTCAAATTCAGGTTCATCAAGGGCCACATCAGCCTTACAGTTCCCTTCAAAGGGTTCTTGAATCCGTGGATAGAGACAACTATATTTTATTTACATAGTGGTTACTGCTCATTAGCCATTTGGGTCCCCAGATGTTGATGGTAATAATAATAATAATAATAATAATAATAATAATAGTAATAGTAATAGTAATAATAATGTGTCCGACATGTGATCCAATTCAACAGCCAGCAGAGGGTCTGCTGTGGACTCATCTTGTTATGTTTCAATAATAATAATAATAATAATAATAATAATAATAATAATAATAGTAAAAATAACAAAGACTCTGGCACAAGCCAGTCAAGATGGTCCCAGTGGTGATCAGCACACTGGGTGCCTACACTTAAACACAATCTCTCGCTGACAGAATTCGAATCTGTCAACAGCAAAAGCCCACCCTACTGCGATCTGCATGCATTATTCACTGATACATTTATTTATTTATATGTTTACTTATTTGCAGAATTTTTATCCTGCCTTTCTAGGCCGGAGGTGATTCAAGGCAGCGTACAGATTGGCAACAATTTAATGCCACAACATACATATATACATAACAATTAAAACATTTAATATAATATAATGAAAATCCATATAAAACCATTAAAACTATGATCATCAATGTCTTCCAGTTCAACTCCTTATCCATTTGCATCGTCTAAGCCATTATGTGTTTGTTATTTCATCGTACTGTGTTTATCTGTCATGCATTTCCAAAACCTTCTTCAAATGACAAAAAATTATCTTAAGAGTAAAATCAGCATTGATTTTTCTGAAATGAAGACTCAGTGAAGTGGTACCAGATGTCTTCCTAGTTGTCTGCTCCCCAAAAGTAACTTTAACAGAGATAAAACTTGTGAAGTATACTATTTAGATCAGTGGTTCCCCACCTTTTTTTTGACCAGAGACTAATTTGATTTTGTGGTTGTTGGGTAGCGACCACAAGGTTGAAGAATAAACTGTGTTAATCTAAAAATAAACTTTAATCAAAACTTTTAACATATTTGTTGATAGCAACATGAATTAAGAGTCCTATTATAATGTAAAAAAGAACATTTTAATAGAAAATTAAATTCAGTTTGAATCAATGTGATATTTGAGCTTGCATCTTCTTGACAAGTTGGGTAATCCTGGGGCTAATATTATTGCTCAAAGCAATAATATGACCAAAGCAATAATATGACCACTTACTTTCAATCGATTCCTGGAGATCCAGGTTTTTACTCTTTTCTGAAAAGTCAAGAGGGAGTAGTGGGTTGATCTAATATCCCTAGGAAGGGAGTTCCACAGCCGAGGGGCCACCACAGAGAAGGCCCTGTCTCTCGTCCCCGCCAAACGCACCTGTGAGGAAGGCAGGATTGAGAGCAGGGCCTCCCCAGACGATCTTAAGTTCCTAGATGGTTCATAAGGAGACTCCTACATCACATACTTTTAGCCACTTGGGAAGCGTCCGACGCATGATCCAAGACAACAACCAGCATAGTGATGTTTGCTGTTTACTAATCTTGTTGTGTTTTAAATAATAATAATAATAATAATAATAATAATAATAATAATAATAATAATAGGAGTTATAGACAAACACATAGAGAGCAGTGGTTTTCAACCTGTGGGTCCCCAGATGTTTTGGCCTACAACTTCCAGAAATCCTAACAGCTGGTTAACTGGCTGAGATTTCTGGGACTTTAGGCCAAAACATCTGGGGACCCACAGGTTGAGAACCACTGGTCTAGACCAGTGTTTCTCAACCTTCCTAATGCCGCGACCCCTTAATACAGTTCCTCATGTTGTGGTGACCCCCCAAACATAAAATTATTTTTGCTGCTACTTCATAACTGTAGTTTTGGTATTGTTACGAATCTTAATGTAAATATCTGATATACAGGATGCATTTTCATTCCCTGGACCAAATTTGGCACAAATACCCGATACTCCCACATTTGAATACTGGTGGGGTTGGCATTGATTTTGTCATTTGGGAATTGTAGTTGCTGGGATTTATAGTTCACCTTCAATCAAAGAGCATTCTTAATTCCACCAACAATGGAATTGAACCGGTCCTGACACACAGAACTCCCATAACCAACAAAAAATATTACAAGGATTTGGTGGGCAATGATTTTGAATTTTGGAGTTGTAGTTCACCTACTTCCAGAGAGCACTGTGGACTCAAACAATAATGGATCTGGACCAAACTTGCCACAAATACTCAATATGCCCAAATATGAACCCTGGTGGAGTTTGGGGAAAATAGACCTTGACATTTAGGAGTTGTAGTTGCTGGGATTTAAAGTTCCCCTACAATCAAAGAGCATTCTGAACCCCACCAATGATAGAATTGGGCCAAACTTCCCACAGAGAACCCCTATGAAAATACTGTGTTTTCTGATGGCCTTTGGTTCCCGACCCCCAGGTTGAGAAATGGTGGTCTAGACATTTCTGAGCATTTGCTGCTTAGGCAGAGGGTTCCTGTAGGTTCGGAACTGTCAACTCAAAGAATCCCAGTGGCAGGTAAACAGCCTGTTCTTAACTGTCAGTTCTAGGAATCATGTAGGCTCTGTGGATCACCTATTGATCTTTTCTGTTGTGGTCATCTTTCATATTTGTTGTGCCCATTCTACTTCTCTTTTTGATAATCATTATTTTGTATTCAAGCTTCCCCCCAGTTTGGACCAAATTCACTTGAACCCCATTTTATGTCACTGACAGATATGTGCTGGCTTATCTTTTGTTTTGAAATCAGCAGACCTTTATTTTTGCCTTTTGCTGAGTGTTCTTAAGAAAAGCTTGTGTGTAGAAGTTAATTTCTGAAGTCTTATCTTTCATTGTGTTTTGGAGGAAGGTGAAGAAGATCTCTATTCGTCATTTCGGCAACTCCGACAACGACAAGCGGAGCTGAACAATCAGTTATATGACACCCGACGCAATTTAAGGAGCCCAAATCGAGATGCTTTATTGAAAGAGTTCAATGTGAACGAGGGTCAGCTGCAGGTGTATCAAGAGACTTGCAACAGGAGGTAAGTCTTTTGGGGGGGGGGGGGGGGGAATGTTGACTATTAAACTGAAGAAGGGGCAGAAGTAATTGAGCTCCTGGGTTGTAGTAGGTTTTTTCGGGCTATATGGCCATGTTCTAGAGGCATTCCCTCCTGATGTTTCGCCTGCATCTATGGCAAGCATCCTCAGAGGTAGTGAGGTCGGTTGGAACTAGGAAAAGGGGTTTATGGAATAACCAGGGTGGGACAAAGGACTCTTATCTGCTGGAGCTAGGTGTAAATGTTTCAACTGACCACCTTGATTAGCATTTGATGGCCTGGCAGTGCCTGGGACAATCTTTTGTTGAGAGGTGATTAGATGAGTCCCTGTCATTACCAATTATGTGTTGTCAAAGGTATTCATGGCTGGAATAACTGGGTTGCTGTTAGTTTTCGGGGCTGTCTGGCTATATTCGAGAAGCATTCTCTCCTGACATTTCATCCACATATATGGCAGGCATCCTTAGAGGTAGGGAGGTCTGTTGGAAACTGGGCAACTGGGGTTTATAATCACCTTGATTAGCATTGAATGGCCTGGCTGCTTCCTGCCTGGGGAAATCTTTTGTTGGAAGGTATTATCTGGCCTTGATGAACCATCTAGGAAATTAAGGTAGTCTTGGGAGGCCCTGCTCTCGATCCCGCCTGCGTCGCAAATACACTTGGTGGGGACGAGAGACAGTGCCTTCTCAGTGGTGGCCCCCCAGCTATGGAATGCCCTCCCTAGGGACATTAGATCGGCCCCCTCCCTTTTAACGTTTCGGGAAAAGGTTAAGACTTGGCTATTTGAGCAGGCGTTTGAAAATGCAGTGTAACCGACATAGGAATTGGATCAACTGGATGATGAGACTGGACAATGTTTTAAACTAGGAGATGTAAAGGATCTATGTTTTATTAACATAATTATTATTTTATTTATATATGAAGGTTTTTAAAATGTTTTATGGTGTTGTGAGCATTGAATTGCTGCCTCTGTAAACCGTCCTGAGTCACTGGATGCTGAGGACGGTATACAAATATAGTAAATAAATAAATAAATTGATTTATTGTCGAAGGCTTTCAATAAATTGATTGTTTCCTGTCTGGAATTCTCCTATTTTCTGAGTGTTGTTCTTTTCTGAGTGTTGTTTTTTTCAGTATTAAATGAACAAAAATCTGGCTACCAGTGTTTAAAAAACTCCAAATCAGAACAGTAAATAAAGTGCAACACTCAAAAACATGGGAATTCCAGACAGGAAACAATCAGGGCCAGCTAACACCACCCAACAGAGGATTTCCCCAGGCAGGAAGCAGCCAGGCTTTAAAGCTGCAAGGCTATTCTGTGCTACTCAAGGTGGCCAATTGCAACATTCATATTTGCCTCCAACAGACAAGAGTTCTTTCTCCCACCCTGGACATCATTCCACAGATATGTAAACCCCACTTGCCCAGTTTCCAACAGACCTCACGACCTTTGTCTGCCATAGATGTGAGTGAAACATCAGGAGAAAATGCTTCTGAAACATGGCCAGAGAGCCCAGAAAACTCACAGCAACCCATTACTAATTATATTTTTTTGCAGAAGTATTTAATCAACAGGTAAATATGTGCTCGGTTATGTAAAGTTCTTTATTCAGATACCTCCACAAACATGACAGTCCAGTCGTTATAGAGCAGGCATGGGCAAACTTTAACCCTTGGGGTGTTTTGTACTTCAGTTCCCATAATTTCTAATAGTCAGTAGGCTGTTAGGAATTGTGGGAGGGGAGTTGAAGTCCAAAACTGTTGGAAATAGCAACCTTACAAGCCTCCACTAACTGTTTGTTAATGTACAATTGTGAACCTATATTCCATGTGTATGTTGATTTGCCAGTTTGGTTTTTCCTCTTTGATGTGGTTATACTGAGCATGTGCAAACATGTGGTTATACTGAGCATGTGCAAACTCAGAATTCCATTTTGTGTAGTATGCTTTTGAACTTCATTGAAGGTGGATGTATGCTTATGGACTTCAATGAGATAAGTTTGGTTTCAGACCTTTTTGGAGGTGGATGTGTGTGCTTATGGACTTGAGTGAGTACAGATATGTTTAAGGACACTTAAAAGACTGTGTGCCTGTATATTTAATATATACAAATTTGTTAGTAAACAAGATATGTGCTTTTGTGTCAATAATAATAATAATAATAACAACAACAACTTTATTTGTATACCACTCTATCTCCCACTCAGGGACTCAGGGTGGTTTCCATGTAGACAACATACACAAAAACTTACAAAGTCAAAACATAGGCATAAAATTGCAAGCACACATATAGATTAATTAAAAGACGAATCCCCAAAACTCTTCAGTGCAAAATAACCTGTTAGGGCCCAGCCCTCCAGACAATTTAGGAGGGCTGGGCCAAGGCTAGTATCAAACAAGACATAGGGGGCCAGAGAAATGGGTAAAGTGCAATGACTGTACCCAACAATAGTCATATTGGGGCCTAGAGCTGTTCATTTCCAGAGCCACTTAAGGACTAAGAGTAGTAGATTGGGTGCAAAGCCAAGTTCTAACCAGTGGCCAAGGGTTAGGGTTAGAACCAGTCGTTCTCAAAGGCCTCATGAATCACCCAATCTTCAAGTCCTTAAAAAAAGAGCAGAGTGATTGACCCCGTCTTATTTCCATGGGAAGGGCATTCCAGAGGCAGGGAGCCACCACCACTTGTGACGGGGGTGGGAGCGAGAAAAGGGCCTCCCTGGAGGATCTTAGAGTTCATGCTGGTTCATAGAAGGAGATGCGATCGCAAAGATAGGTGGGGGCCAAACTTTTTCGGACTTTATAGGTTATAACCTGCACCTTGAATTTGGCTTGTGAATTAATCGGCAGCGAATGGTGCTGTTTTAATAGAGGCCTTATGTGCTCCCTATAATTTGCTCCCGTTAGGAGACTGGCTGCCACCTGTTGTACCAATTGAAATTTCTGGGCCGTCTTCAAAGGCAGCCTCACGTAGAACGCATTGCAGTAGTCCAGTCTGGATGTAACTAAGGCATGGACCACCCTGGCCAAGTCAGACTTCATGAGATATGGTCACAGCTGGCGCACAAGTTTTAGTTGTGCCAAGGCCCTCCCAGCCACCGCTGACACCTGGGCATCAAGCGACAGCATTGAGTCCAGGAGGACCCCCAAACTACGGACCTGCGCCCCTAGAGGGAGTGTAACCCCGTTGAGCACTGGTTGCCACCCAAGACCCTGGTCATAGAGAACTTGCCAAAAACAATGTGATACATAGTTAAGTAATGTATTCCACTAACTTCATAGTCTATTCTGAACATGATTTCTGACCGCCCTTCATATAATTATAGAGTATTGTTTTTTATACTAACATATCAAACTGCTTTTTTTCCTTTTTTCTGTTTCAGATTGAAGGAGAAAAGGGTCAGCAATAGCAAATTCTACTCCTAGAGGAATAGGTTTCTTTCGGTGTAAGAGACTTGTCACTTGGTAAGAGACATTGACAGATCTGGACATCCTTTTAAGTGAGATTCTATAGCTGTAAGAAAAATGCTTTGATGTTCTAATAGGGTTTTTGGAGATATGATGAGCAAGATTCAAAGACTTTTTTGTGTGTGTGATAACATTAAATACCAGTAGTGTACACAATGCATGCTATTTGCTTAGTCCAACTTCTTTTCAAAGTGTACAGTTGGCAAACACTGCATGTGTTGTTGGGAGTCTTTCATGGCCAGAATCACTGGGTTGCTCTGAGTTATCTGTGCTGTCTGGCCACGTTCCAGCAGCATTTGCTCCTGATGTTTTGCAGATCTGCTCCCTCCCTCTTGATTTTTCGGAGGCAAGTTAAAACGTGGCTATTCGAGCAAGCGTTTACAAATATAGAGTAGCTAATATAGGAAATCGAATGACCTGACAATGGAATTGGACTATACTTGAGAATAATGAGATGCTGATGATGTTGTTTTTATTGCTTTTGTGATGTCTTATATTGTTTAATGTTTTTTATCTATATTATGTTTTATGTATACTGATTTGTTGGAAACCGCCAATTGGCTGAGAAAGGCGGTATAGAAATACAGTAAATAAATGAATTATTATTATTATTATTATTATTATTATTATTATTATTATTATTATTACTAATCAAGGTGGCCAGTTACAACATTTACACTTGCCTCAAGCAGACAAGAGATCTTTTTCCCACCCTGGATATCATTCCACATATATATATAAACTCTATTTGCCTAGTTTTCAAGAGATCTCACAACCTCTGAGGATGCCTGCCATAGATGTGGGCAGAACTTCAGGAGAGAATGCTTCAGAAACATGGCAATACAGCCTGGGAAACTCACATCAACCAGTATAAGGATTTTGTCTTCTTTGTATTGTATTGCAATGGCTTTATCATGAGTCTTCTTTTAAGGGAGAATAAGAGGGAAAATAATCTATATAAATAAAAATGTAATGTTCGTTTGTGGGATTAACATAACTCAAAAACCACTGGACGAATTGACACGAAATTTGGACACAATACACCTAACAGTCCAACGAGTGTCCATCACCCGTAAACACACACACACACAAAAAACCCCAGCGGAACAAACTTAAAACCCCCAAAAATACACCATATACACATGCACACATTTGAACACAGACACGTATATATATATGCACACACATAAATATACACATATACACACATACATGTACATACACACAGATATACATATACACATACATGCATGCACACATACATATATACATACATATACACATGCACACACATACATACATGTTTACCTATGCTTGTCTATATAAACACACAAAACACATATACACACACTGGGCCACAGCAACGCGTGGCAGGGGACGGCTAGTAATCATAATAACAATAGTCAAGTATTCTTAAATCCTTCCAAAGTCACACATAAATATGCCTTTATGTTGAGCCTTCTTGTACTTATTTTGCTAGGTTAGAGCCATATGGGAAAAAAGATGGCTATCCGCCACGTTCTTCAATGGAATTGCCTTTGAAATTACAGCAAAAATGGAATCCTAGTTTGAGAGATTAACCCCTCCTACTCCACGGACCATGCCTTCAAGAATGTCAGGTTTTTAAAAGAAAACAACTTTTTATGTGTGTTAGAAATTTATTGGAATGTTTTTTTAATTTATTTTGAACTTTTGTGTGTACAGCAACAGGGAGTGTGTTTTGTGTGTGTGTGTATAACTATGAAGGCTGACTGGCACTGAATATATACAAATTTGTACCATTTTGAGATAGATTAAAAAGTGCCTAACAATTATAAATGAATTACCTTTGTCGTTTGGTTTTTTAAAAGGCTATTTAAAGGTTTATGTGCAAGAAGGATATATGTGTTGCAATGGATGGGTTCATCTAGTACAGTGGTTCTCAACCTGTGGGTCCCCAGATGTTTTGGCTTTCGACGCAGCTAGTTAGTAGCCCGCTGCATTAAATCACTACTGACCAAGAGGTCATGAGTTCAAAGCCAGCCAAGGTCGGATTGAGCTCCCGACCATTAATAGTCTAGCTTGCTGTTGACCTAAGTAGTAGTGTTCCCCAGCTTAAAGGTTGGCAACCACTGATCTAGTAAAATGGGACCTTTGAATCTGCTGGGGCTTTCTTTCAGGATAAAGCCCATTATATATCTTCTAGTCTTAGTCACAGTTGTTTCAATCTCCCTTGCTGATAGACATATCCCAGTTATGGAGTGTTTAGTTTCATCTGCAGGGAGACCAAGGTGTTGTTTATAGCAAGGTCCTCCCAACCTTGCTATACACCTGCAAAACGTGAAACGTGGACTGTCTACAGACATCACACACCTGGAATGATTCCATCAGCGTTGCCTCTGAAAAATCTTGTAAATCTCTTTGGAAGATAAGCGGACAAATATCAGTGTGCTTATTTATTTAAAAAGCTATTGTCCTCCCAACCTTGCTATACACCTGCAAAACATGAAACGTGGACTGTCTACAGACATCACACTCCTTGAATGATTCCATCAGCGTTGCCTCTGAAAAATCTTGTAAATCTCTTTGGAAAACAAGCGGACAAATATGCTTGTGCTTATTTGTTTACAAAGCTATTGTCCTCCCAACCTTGCTATACAGCTGCAAAACGTGAAACATAGACAGACGTCACACTCCTGGAATGATTCTGAAAAATCTTGTAAATCTCTTGGGAAGACAAGAGGACAAATATCAGTGTGCTGGAAGAAGCAATGACCACCATCATTGAAGCGATGCTCCTACACCATCAACTCTGCTGGACTGGCCACGTTGTCCAAATGCCCGATCATGGATCTCCCAAAGCAGCTACTCTACTCCCAACTCAAGAATGGGAAACGTAACATTGGTGGACAGCAAAAGAGATTTAAAGATGGGCTTAAAGCCAACCTTAAAAACTCTGGCATAGACACTGAGAACTGGGAAGCCCTGGCCTTTGAGTGCTCCAGCTGGAGGTCAGCTGTGACCAGGAGTGCTGTAGAATTTGAAGAGGCATGAGTGGAGGGCGAAAGAGAGAAACGTGCCAACCCTGACCAGGACCGCCTTCCACCTGGAAACCAATGCCCTCACTGCGGGAGCAGTTGCAGATCAAGAATAGGGCTCCACAGTCACCTACCTGAGTAGGATAGTCTTGGAAGACTATGCTACTCAGACAACGAGGAATCGCCTAAGTAAGTAAGTAACCCAGTTGTGGAGTGTTTAGTTTCTTTCAGTGCATTGATTACTATCATTCACATCAAGACATGATGCTGATTCAAGTGTATGCAATATTTTATTGAAAAAAAAGTACAGACCTTCTTTACATTAAAATACAACTTTAAGGGTGTGATAAAGCTTTTGAGCATTCCTGGTTACAAAAAGGTATTTTCCCTCTAAATAACACTTCTAACTCTGGCCAGCATGTGTTGTCGTCACGTTATAACCTACACTTGTAGCCTGCAACTATTTGGCAAAGAGCTGAGCTACACTCTCTCACACACAACCCATTTCGATCTAGTTTAAAAGATTTTTCTATGAAAATGGCTAGTTGTGTGTTCATTAAATTGTCTGCTCCAGGTTAAAGATAGCCTGCAGGCAGGCAACTACAATCATGAGTCTGCATGGTTTGCTTTCTTACTGCCACTGTGTCTAACCAATAAATAGAAAAATAAATAAAGGGAGAAGGAGAAGGTGTTTTAATCCAGAGACCCTCTAGCCTCCTGTACATTATTATATAATCAAAATACATAATTATAATTTAAAAATTGTATTATAAAGTGTAAATTCTCATGTAATACTAAAATTGTTCAGGAGATGAGTTTACAAAACTGCTCTAGGTTTTAAACAATGCTGATTGGCTATTATTTTTTCCCCCATGTAGAAAAAGCAAAGGAGCAGAAACTAGCTGCTCTATTTTTAAAAATACCCCAAAGAATTACTGGGAAGTCATTTTGCTAAGTGATGAACTGAGTTCAGTCCTAAACTAAAAAAAAAGTTTGTGTTGTTTTCTACAAATATATATATATTGAAGGTTAAGTAAGAAACTGCAGACATACCTGCTGGAGTGTGAAAACTACATCACAAGCAGCGTGACTAAACATGTCCTAGCAGAATGGCGTAATGCCATTGCACTCCAGAACAGATATGTATGTTGCAACTGGAAGAATTCATTGGAGACTTGCGTTTGCAGCTATGGTGTGTGGGGTTTGCTTGTAGACAAAAGATGATCCCTTCGAAGTGGCGGTGGAGAGCGAAGGCATTCCTTGTCTAGAATGGGAATGTCCTTTGCGGTACTGTCTGGATCAGGAGTAGATAGTAATAACTTCCCGTCCACCTCCTCTGACGAGCAACACTCGCTCTAAGCCTTCGGTCAGGACCTCAAGGAATTCCATATCTGGGTCAATGCGAGTAAAGGAAAAGCAGCCCTGTATGGGATGATTATTATTATTTTGTCTTGATGAGTGATTCCCAAATAACAACAACAACAAAGAAAAATAATAATAACAAAGAATAAACATGGCTATGGCTCACAAATGGAACTCTGAAAAAGGAGACAAAGGAGGGCCTGATTCTGGCAGCCCAAGAACAAGCCATTCGAACCAATGCCATCAAAGCCAGAATTGAAAAGTCGACGACAGATCCCAAATGTAGATTCTGCAAGGAAGCAGATGAAACAACAGATCTCATCCTCAGCTGCTGCAGGAAGATCGCGCAGACTACAAGCAGAGGCATAACACCGTTGCTCAGATGATTCATTGGAACTTGTGCCACAAACACCGTCTGCCTGCGACAAAGAATTGGTGGGATCACAAGCCAGAAAATGTTACAGAGAATGAACACGTCAAACTCCTCTGGGACTTCCGGATTCAGACAGACAGTTCCGGAGCACAACACTCCTGACCTCACAATTGTGTTAAAAAACAAAGAATGGCTCATCGATGTTGCAATCCCAGGTGACAGCAGGATTGCAGAGAAACAACTGGAAAAGCTGACACGATATGAGGATTTAAAGATCGAACTGCAAAGACTGTGGCACAAGTCAGTAAAGGTGGTCCCAGTGGTGATTGGCACACTGACCTGCACTTAAACACAATTGGCGCTGAAAAAATTACCATTTGCCAGCTGCAAAAGGCCACCCTACTGGGATCTGCACGCATTATTCGCCGATACATGACACAGTCCTAGACACTTGGGAAATGTCCGTGTGATTCAGTTCAGCAGCCAACAGAGTGTCTGCTGTGGACTCATCTTGTTGTGTTTCTAACAACAACAACAACAATAATAATCAATTTTATTTATACCCTGCCACCATCTTCCCAAGGGGACTCGGGGCGGCTTACAAGAGGCCACGCCTAGCAATAGAGTAAAACAAAAACACAACAAAATAGAAAATAAAAATAACATAAGATACAAAATACAAAAATCTATATAATAATATAAAATCAGAACAATATAAACACTAGACATATTCCAGTGGGCAGGGCAAAAGATTAAAAATTTAAAAACACTGGGTGAGAGGGCCATGTAATGTATTAGGACTAGGGAAATGTGCTCCTCAACCATTGCCAAGTCAGGATTGATGGGAGCTATGGTCCAAAGCCTCTGGAAAGCAGTAGCATGCACACACTCTCTGCTATCTTTTGTTACCTCGAACCAAAGGTATATCTATACTGTAGATTTTATGCAATTCAACACCACTTTCTCTGCCATCACTCCATGCTATGAAAACATGGGAGTTGTAGTTTTGCAAAGACTTTGGCTTTCTCTGTCAAAGAGCGATGATATACTGGGCTGTGGCACAGCTAGTTAGTAGCTGGCTGCATTAAATCACTACTGACAGAAAGGTCATGAGGTTGAAGCCAGCTCGGGTCGGAGTGAGCTTACTTTTGACCTATGTAGCCCGAAAAACAATTGCATCTGTCAAGTAGGAAATTTAGGTACCGCTTTATGCAGAGAGACTAATTTAACTAATTTACAACGCCATAAAACCTTCCAGAAGCATGCAGAAGAATGAGGAAGTACTGTGTCCTCCACTTGTGACACCATCGAGGACTTGGTGTCACAAGTGGACAGTGAAGCAGCAGCTCCCCCCTGTGGCCGGAATTGAGCATACTGGGTTGTTGTAGGTTTTTTCGGGCTATATGGCCATGTTCTAGAGGCATTCTCTCCTGACGTTTTGCATCTATGGCAAGCATCCTCAGAGGTAGTGAGGTCTGTTGGAAACTAGGAAAATGGGTTTATATCTGTGGAATGACCCGGGTGGGACAAAGAACTCTTGTCTGCTGGAGCTAGGTGTGAATGTTTCAACTGACCACCTTGATTAGCATTTGATGGTCTGGCAGTGCTTGGGGCAATTTTTTGTTGACAAAAGATGTGGACAATTTCAACAGAAAGGAGGAAACCATGAAAATGAACAAAATCTGGCTACCAGTATTTAAAAAAACTCTAAAATTACAACAGCAAAACAACAGAGAGGAAACAATCTGGGACATCTAATCACCTCTCAACAAAAGATTGCCCCTGGCGCTGCCAGGCCATCAAATGCTAATCAAGGTGGTCAGCTGAAACATTCACACCTAGCTCCTGCAGACAAGAGTCCTTCGTCCCACCCTGGTCATGGTCATATATACCTCACACAAAGATTCAGGGCCACCCAAAGCTCGCTTCTTCCCATGGTATCGTAAAAGAGTTCAGTGGAAAAGGATACAGTTTTCATCACCGTCAGTGTTCTTTGGAGGCCCAGGCATGTTGAGAAGAACAAGTCGGGCATCATGGGACCGGTTTACAATGACTTCGTTCAACTTCACAGCCGTGTGCATCCTCCGGACATTGGACTGGTTCCTAGAGAAAGACCACATTCACACATGCTCTTAGGAATCAACATTTGCAAAGTGACATATGAGAAGGAATGGTACACAATGTTTGGTCCTCACAACGCACATACAGTAAGCCGCCCCAAGTCCCCATTGGGGGAGATGGTGGCGGGGTATAAATAAAGATTATTATTATTATTATTATTATTATTATTATTATTATTATTATTATTATTATTATTACAGCTCCCAGATATGTTAGTGGTTGAGCCAGGGAAGTCTTGCAAAAAATGTGTGCTCATCCACCAAGCATTAGCCTCTCTGCCTGACTCTGACCCATGTTCTGTTAGCGACATGCATGCAGAAAGTGTTCTACACATATGGAGCAACATCCTGAGCATTGTGTAATGGGGGTACTTTACTGACAATGTCAGGAGCAGAGTTGCACAATGGCACTCAGTCATTGAGATGTTGGGTAATGCTCCGATTCTGCCGGGGATTGTGTTGGTGCTCACCTAGTCAGTCTCTGCATACATATATTTATGCTGACCGGGCTTTAGCACAGCTGGTACAGCGATAAGATCTACCAACCAAGTGTGCCAGTTCGAAGCCCCAGGTCGGAGTGAGCACCCAACTGTCAACCCAGCTCACTCTTTACCTAAGCAGTTCGAAAACAGCTTAGTAGATAAATTAGGTACCACAGCTTAGTAGATAAATTAGGTACCACTAAAAAGTGGGGGAGGTATTTTACGACACCATAAAAGGAAAAGATCAGAAAATGCCTGGTGACGAAAAGGAAGGAGGAAGTCCTAATGGCTCTTAGCCATAGCAGATGAAGCGACAGCACCCCCCTGTGGCTTGATTCAAGCACAATATCCAAGACACCAAAAAGCTGGACGTTGACACAACATACCCCCTTTCTGTCTGTTTCTGTCCTGTTTGTCCAAATGGCTTTGAATGTTTGCCGTGTATGTGTATTGTGATCTGTCCTGAATCCCCTTGGAGAGAGGGCAGAATATAAAGAAAGTGTTGTTGTTATTGTTATTGCAGAGTTGCAGCCTCTGTGTCCATGAGCAGAGATTGAAACAAAAATGCTACAACAACACAGGAAGAAATGGGGTAGCCCCCTGACACCGATATTGCCATAGAACAGGGGTTTTCAACCTTCCTAATGCCGCGACCCCTTAATACAGTTCCTCATGTTGTGGTGACCCCCAACCATAACATTATTTCATAACTGTCATTTTGCTAATGTTATGAATCATAATGTAAATATCGGATATGCAGCACTTATTTTCATTCACTGGACCAAATTTGGCACAAATACTCGATACGCCCAAATTTGAACACTATTGGGGTTTTGTCATTTGGGAGTAGTACTTGCTGGGATTTATAGTTCACCTACAATCAAAGAGCATTCTGAACTCCACCAATGATGAAAGTGAACCTAACTTCGCACACAGAACTCGCATTTCAGAAAATACTGGAAGGGTTTGGTGGGCATTGACCTTGTAGTTTACCTACATCCAGAGAGCACTGTGGAAGTTGTAGTTTACCTAGATACTGTGGGAGTTGTAGTTTACCTATATCCAGATAGTACTGTGGACTCAAACAATGATGGATCTGGACCAAACTTAACACAAATACTCAATATGCCCAAATGTGAACACTGGTGGAGTTTGGGGAAAACTTGACCTTGACATTTGGGAGTTGTAGTTGCTGGGATTTATAGTTCACCTACAATCAAAGAGCATTCTGAACTCCACCAAAGGTAGAATTGGGCCAAACCTTCCATACAGAACCTCCCCCAAAAGGAAAAACTGTGTTTTCTGATGTTCTTTGGCAACCTCTCTGACCCCACCCCCCCAACCCTCCCCAAGGCGTCCCGACCTCCAGGTTGAGAAACGCTGCCATAGAAACAAACCCACAGCTCTAATTTTGATCCTATAAAGAGAATATAGCGATATGTAAAATCATTTAAACGAGGAGACTTACAGATTCTCCCATTCACTGGCCAGCATGAAAGAAAAACATCAACATTAGCATTTCTAGCCCGAAAAGCAACAACAGAACTCTGCAAACACAGATTTTTGTCATGCAAACTACTTTTGGGGACGGAGAGTTGAAAATATATGGTTTGCTTTAAAAACATTTTTGATAAATTAAAAGTATCTCTTTGAAAAACATTCAAAATTAAACGTCACAAATAGCATTGTAAAGGAACATGGACTGTGAGCATTCTCTTTTGCCATTCTGAGGAGATGCACACCATGGAAATTACGTGTCTCCCCTAATTTCTTCATAATCTCAATGTGTTCGTTCCCCAAAAAAGGAACAGAAACAAGGAAATGCTGGAAATTGTCATGATCTGATACTGTACATAATATATGTGTATATAATAAAGATATGAATCTATATAAATAAAAATGTATTGTTCGTTTGTGGGATTAACATAACTCAAAAATCACTGGACGAATTGACACCAAATTTGGACACAATACACCTATCAGGCCAATGAGTGACCATAAAGGGACAGAGAGCTTCATCTATGCTGATGATCGTGCTATTACTGCTCAAGCAGGGAGCTTTGAGATGGTAGAACAGAAGCTCTCCGAAGCTCTAGGTGCTCTTACTGCCTATTACAGGGAAAACCAACTGATCCCCAACCCATCTAAAACACAGACATGTGCTTTTCATCTCAAGAACAAACAAGCATCCCGAGCTCTGAGGATCACCTGGGAAGGAATCCCACGGGAGCACTGCAGCACACCCAAATATCTGGAAGTCACTCTGGACCATGCTCTGTTAAATTGGTGGAATGTTAAATCGCCTCTGTGTCTGTGTATATATGTTGTGTCTATGTGGCATTGAATGTTTGCCATGTATATATACATTGTAATCCGCCCTGAGTCTCCTGTGGGGTGAGAAGGACGGAATATATAAATATTGTAAATAAAAAATAAATTAATAAAAATAATCCTGACCTGCTGATGGACCCATTCACAGCTATGGTCAACTTCCCCATAGGGTCTCCTTGCGTATGTGTCTATGATGAGCTTCTTGGACTATAGGTCCCTATGGTGCAATATCCCCCGCCCCCCAATAGAATCTCGCCTATGGGCCTCTCTCGTCCGGCTCCCCATGGAGTTTCCTTGTCAATGGCCTCTTGGGCCAGTCTCCTTGCTTATGTGATGAAAATAGTCCCTTTTGATTCTGTGAAGTAGCCATTGAGTCCAATCCCATGCTCAGCATAACACATCTAGTGCTAGATTATCTCCAAAATCTGATCTGCAAGGATACCCACCATCCCTTGAAGCTGGGTACCATTTGGTCTCATATTTTTTACTCCATAAGGGACTGGACACTTACGGTTTAATACTGATGAGCTCTCGGAAGTTCTCTGCTGCATTGTTACGGATCCGTTTTTCCGCGTCGCATTTGTCCTTTGTCCACGTCATCTGGATCTTCTCTGGTACTGCTTCTCCCTCGTCTTCCTCATCTGAATAGAGGCTCTCTAACCTTATGATCGAGTGCCTGTCCTTCACCAGCTGAGCCTGCAAGAACAGATGGTTGAGGACCTCATTTTCAATTGGTCAAGTTTACAGTCTCATTCATTCCTTCATTCTGCTTAAGCTTCATAGCATGTACTAGAACATGGATAGCTCCTTCCTCTCACCTTCCACCATCATCTACGACAGTGGTCTTAATGATGTGCCCCCTTAATGCAGTTCCTCATGTGGTGACCCCCAACCATAAAATTATTTTCGTTGTTACTTCATAACTGTAATTTTGCTACTGTTCTGAATTGGAATGTAAATAATCTGATATGCAGAATGTATTTTCATTCACTGGACCAAATTTGGCACAAATACCCAATACGCCTAATACTGGTGGGGTTGGGGGAGGGGGTATTGATTTTGTCATTTGGAGTTGTAGTTGCTGGGATTTATAGTTCAATGAAAGAGCATTCTGAACTCCACCAACAATGGAATTGAACCAAACTTGGCATACGGAACTCCCATGACCAACAGAAAACACTGGAAGGGTTTGGTAGGCATTGAATTTTGGAATTGAAGTTGACCTCCATCCAGAGAACACTGTGGACTCAAACAATGATGGATCTGGACCAAACTTGACAGGAATACTCAATATGCCCAAATGTGAACACAGATTGGGTTTGGGGGAAATAGACCTTGACATTTGGGAGTTGTGGTTACTAGGATGTATATTCACCTACAATCAAAGAGCTCCACCAACTATGGAATTGGTCCAAACATCCCACACAGAACCCCCATGACCAACAGAAAATACTGTTTTTTCTGGTGGTCTTTGGTGACCCTTCTGACACCCCCCTGGTGACCCCCCCCCCCCGGGGTCTTGACTTCCCAGGTTGAGGAATGCTGCCTTAAGGCCATCCAGTCCAACTCCCTTCACCAGGGCAAGAAAACATAATCAAAGCCCTCTTGACAAAGGGCCATCCAGCCATTCACACACACACATATATATGTATATGACAGGTGCAGTACCAAAGTTTTGAAAGGGACCCCCCAAAGAAGGACAATGATATGTTGCATGTTCCAGAGTAGGCAAACCAGACAGTCTCCACATCCACATAGCAACAGGAAGGAAGGAGAGAAGAAAGGAGGGAGGAAAAAAGGGAAGGAATGAAGGAGGGAAAGGGGGAAGGAAGGAGAAGGAGAGAGGAAAAGAAGGAAGGAGGGAAGGAAGGAGAGAAGGAAGGAAGGAAAGAAAGAGGTACTGAAGGAAGAAGAGAAAGTAGAAAGGAAAGGGAAAGGGAAAGAAAGGCAGGAAAGAGGTAAAGAAGGAGAAAAGGAAATAAAAAGTGAAAGAAGGAAGGAAACAGGGAGGGAAGAAAGGAGACAAAGAAGTAGTGAAAGGGGGAGGGAATGAAGGAAAGAGAGAAGGAAGGATGAAACCAAAGAGTGAAAGAAGGAATGAAAGAAAGAAATAGGTAGAGAAGGAAGAAAGGAGAGAAAGGGGAAGGGGAAGAAAAGGGGGGAAGGAATAAGTAGTCCAGATAACTACCTCTACTTCGAAAAGTCTTACTATAGGCCACAGCAACGCGTGGCAGGTACAGCTAGTTATCGAATATAATACTAATACTACTACTACTAATAATATTACAATATTATAATGATATATATATATTATATTACATGTAACATTACTAATAATATTACAATATAATGGTATAATACAATATAGTAATATATACTGTAATACTGATATTGTGCTATGCCAATAATATAATATATTGTGTGTGTGTGTGTGTGTGTGTGTGTGTGTGTGTATATATATATATATATATATATCTTGTAAGCTGCTCTTGTAAGCTGCCCTTTGGGGTGAGAAGGGCGACATATAAATGCCGTAAATAAATAAATACTAGAACCTGGATAGCTCCTACCTCTCACCTTCCACCATCATCTACAGGAAAATTTCAGAGTCTTGATGCTCTGGAATATCTGTATGCAAAGGGATCTTGCAGCACTGTAGATAACAAAGTCTTTTGGAACAGCTCTTGTCCTGCTTACCTCCCTTTCGCGTTCAGTTTTGGTCAGTCTCATTTGCCTCAGCATCTGTGATCTCTGTTCCATCATGAGGGTCCGCTCATAAGTATATGCTGAGATGTCACTGTTTTGCTACAGAAACAAGAAATACTGTTTTAAGAGAGTTATCCCAAACCTTCCTCAACCATAGCTCAAAATAAAATCCTTGTTACCATTTCCACTACTTCGACTTCAGCCTCTATCCGCAGTTGGTAAAGGAAGGTGGCGAGGTCTTTCTTCATTTGGATGCTGTTGTCGTCCATCTGGGCGACCGTAAAGATGCGCATCTTGCACTTTCGCCAAACCTGCAATGTAAGAGAGGAAATATTTATTTTTGCAAAGGGCAACTGAGGAGGCAAGTCTTGTGTTCTGGAATAGAGCTTGCATCTTTCCCCAACCTGCATGGCAATAAATTGCAGCCCAATGTAACTGGAGAACATCAAGTCAGGGAAAGTTGTGGTGGTTTGCAAGGTAAAACAGAACTTTGAAAGAAATCTATTTTCGAGTTTCATGTATACTTTCATCCCTGGACTGCACAAGTTTCTTGTGTCATGAAGTCTCCGGTCCTCATTGGTAGCTAGACTAGAGATAGGATTAGAGTCAGGGATTTCTCCCGCCACACTCCTATGCATGTTTATCCTGGAAGGGGTGTGCTGGTACCAGGAGCTTCAACTTCATTTCTTTCTATTAAATGTCTGCATGCATTCCAAGGTTTCAGCCATTCTGCAAAGATGACTTCCCTTGGTGTGCAATTACAGGGGGAATGACCCATCAATCATTGTTAAGTTTTGGTTCCACCCCTTTCCCCAGGGCCCTGGGAGGAGAGGGAGCCATTTTTAGTTCAGTCTTACAGAAGGAAATTAAGCTAAAGGACATGGACCAGCTCCACCTGCAGAAAAGCTTCATTACCTACAGCTTCAGGGGAAACAGCTTCCGGGGAGAAATAGTCCCAAAGCTCTGGCTGGGAACTTACAGCCTCTCAGCCTTACAGCATTTGGGGGAAACAGTTTTACAGACCCAAAGAACTCCAGCTGCAGAATCTACAAAGCCTTGACTAGTAGGTCTACTCGGGACCCAAGATGTAGTTTGGAACCGGTAGTAGGACCCACATCAGCAAAGCCTAGATAGTAGATTGCCTGGGAGAGGTTAAAAAGGGGTTTTCCTTTCAAAAGAAAAGAAACAGTTCTCAAAGCCAGTTGCCTGTCCCTTGTGGACAAGATAAAGAAAGCCACCAGTCATTTGTATGATGGCTTTCTTTATCTTGTATTTGTATGGTGGCTTTCTTTATCTTGTCCACAAGGGACAGGCAACTGGCTTTGAGAACTGTTTCTTTTCTTTTGAAAGGAAAACCCCTTTTTAACCTCTCCCAGGCAATCTACTATCGTTGATTGTCGTTGAAGATTGAAGAAGTATTTGTTTAATTTGTTCAACAATAAAGGACTTTGTTAAACCTTTCAAGCCTCTAAAGACTCTTCTAGAGGAAAATCCTTAGGGCCTCTCTATCAAGGCACCCTGGCTTCCCGCTGGGTACAAAGTGCACGTCCTGTTAAAAAGACAATTATTACAGGCCCAGCGTGTGACAGCACAAGTGGCCTTTGTCTTTACTCTTCTTGCTTACCCTGTGAGGTAATCTCTGTGAGGTATGAGGTAACTTCCTCTTTAAAGGTCATGTGGTCATTCTCCATCGTTGGCTCTCTCTCTGCCTTTTCTTCCTTCCAGTGAGGATGCATTTTGCCTCTCCCTGGGCAAAATGTCACTGCATGGATATTAAAACTTGTGCGCCAGCTTTGGGAAGTCTGACTTGGCCATGGTAGTCCACACTCTGGTTACATACCTTATAGACTACTGCAACGCACTCTACGTGGGGTTGCCTTTGAAGACTGTGCGGAAGCTTCAAATGGTCCAACAGATGGCAGCCAGATTACTAACAGGAGCTGCGCTCAGAGAGCATACAACTCCTGATGCGTCAGATCCACTGGTTGCCAGTCTGCTACTGGGCACAATTCAAAGTGCTGACTTCAGCCTATAAAGCCCTAAACAGCTCTGGCCCAATTTACGCATCTCCCCTTATGAACCTGCTAGGATTTTAAGGTTGTCTGGGGAGGCCCTGCTCTCAATCCCGCCTGCGTCACAAATCTGTTTAGCAGGTGGCCCCTCGGCTATGGAACACCCTTCCTAGGGACATTAGTTTGGCCCCCTCCCACTTAACATTCCAGAAAAGAGTCAAGACCAGGCTGTTTGAGCAAGCGTTTGAAAATGCAGTGTAAAAAACATAGGAACTTGGAACGACTGGACGACAATATGAGAGGAGATTCCATCTGAACACGAGGAAGAACTTCCTGACTGTGAGAGCCGTTCAGCAGTGGAACTCTCTGCCCAGGAGTGTGGTGGAGGCTCCTTCTTTGGAAGCTTTTAAACAGAGGCTGGATGGCCATCTGTCAGGGGTGATTTGAATGCAATATTCCTGCTTCTTGGCAGGGGGTTGGACTGGATGGCCCATGAGGTCTCTTCCAACTCTTCGATTCTATGATTCTATGAATGTTTTTAATTAGAAGACACAAATGGCTTATGTTTTTATTACTTTTGTTGGGTTTTATACTATGTATGAATGTTTTATGATGTTCTTGGGCATCGAATTGTTGCCTTTGTAAATCGCCCTGAGTCGCCTGAGGGCAGAGAAGGGCAGTATACAAATATAGTAAGTAAGTAAGTAAGTAAGTAAGTAAATAAATAAATAAATAAATTTTGACTTCCCTAGATCTAGGGAAGTCATGCTCCCCCATGCTCTATTCCACTTTGGTTAGACCATACCTGGAATATTGTGTCCAGTTCTGGGCACCACAATTGAAGAGCGATTGACAAGCTGGAATGTGTCCAGAGGAGGGTGACTAAAATAATCAAGGGTCTGGAGAACAAGCCCTATGAGGAGCGGCTTAAGGAGCTGGGCATGTTTAGCCTGAAGAAGAGAAGGCTGAGAGGAGATATGATAGGCATGTATAAATATGTGAGAGGAAGCTACAGGGAGGAGAGAGCAAGCTTGTTTTTTGCTTCCTTGGAGACTAGGATGCAGAACAATGGCTTCAAACTACAGGAGAGGAGATTCCATCTGAACATTAGGAAGAACTTCCTGACTGTGAGAGCCATTCAGCAGTGGAACTCTCTGTCCCGGAGTGTCGTGGAGGCTCCTTCTTTGGAAGCTTTTAAACAGATGCTGGGTGATTTGAATGCAATATTCCTGCTGCTTGGCAGGGGGTTGGACTGGATGGCCCATGAGGTCTCTTCCAACTCTTTGATTCTATGATTCTAGGTCAGCTGTGACCAGCAGTGCTGCAGAATTTGAAGAGGCACGAATGGAGGGTGAAAGAGAGAAATGTGCCAAGAGGAAGGCGTGTCAAGCCAACCCTGACCGGGACCGCCTTCCACCTGGAAACCAATGCCCTCACTGTGGAAGAAGATGCAGATCAAGGATAGGGCTCCACAGTCACCTAGGGACCCACCCTGGAGGATTATCCTACTCGGACATTGCCTAAGTAAGTAAGTAAGTCTGGGAGGTGTAAGTCAAAACACCAGTTGAGAATCACTGCTCTAAAGAAACTATATTGCTCTAATCCGCAAATAATAAAATCTGCAAAACCAAAAGAACATTATGTGCAAATTGCCATTTCAAAAGAAGGTGGCCAATGAATGAACAATATAAAGGTCCACTGACCACCTCGTACTCCTGAGTGGAGTCAGTCAGTCTGTCTCATTCCTCGCATTCTTACTTTATGCTGTTTGAGCAGAAAAGGAAGCAGCATCAACATGCCTCCGTCGTGCACAATCCACCAGACGTCGATGTTCCCCTCGTTGTAGCGCTCGTGATTCCCAGGGTAGAAGGACACATTTTTGGGCACGAGCAAAGCCAGGTGGGCTGCCGTTGTGCAGCGCACTGTGTCTGGAGGCAAAAAATAGGAGGAAGCTTTATTATTTGCACAGCAAAGGATTGGCTCTGAATGGCTGCACAGAATCTCAACGCAATCATAGCTAACCCAGTGCCTCACCACCATTTATCATATCACGAGCAAACCAAGGGTACAGTTATAATGTATTTAAGAAAACAGAAAGTTTAAAAAACTTGGCATTATTCGAGGGTTGAATGAAAAGTAATGCCTCCACCGTCGTTACTTGGGTTTGGATTTGAATATTTTAATAAATCAAACAAAGAAATAATCCTTTGAATGTGCTCTTTAACTACCACTTTTCACTTTTCCACATAATCACCAGACAATTGGATACATTTCTGCCAACGATGAACAAGTTTTCTGAAGCCGTCAACACTCTGTTTCTACAACCAGCATCTCACAGTTCTCTCAATGTCTTCATCAGATTCATAACAATGTCCCTGCCGATCTTCTTACATTATTAGAAACAGATGGAAGTGGTGCTAAATCTGGACTGTATGGAGGATGCGGGATTCTGGCGCAGCTGGCTGAGTGTCAGCTGCATTAAGATCACTCTGATCAAAAGGTCATGAGTTCGAAGCCAGCCCAGGTTGGAGTGGGTTTCCAACCAATTGTGTGTAGCCTGTTGTCGACCTTTGCAACCCGAAAGACAGTTGCATCTGTCAAGTAGGAAAATAAGGTACCACCTTAAAGCGTGGGGAGGCTAAATTAACTGATTTAACTAAATTAAGCGGATTACAGTGTACACATAAAGAAGACTCCAGCAAAGCATTTCAGCGGGGAAGCATGCGGGGATTGCGGAAGTACTTCATCAGTGTCGCAGATGGATGATGAAAGTGACAGCTCCCCTGGCAGCCAGAAAAAAGTTAAATAGCCTCTGTGTATGTCTGTATATGTTTGTATGTCAAAAATTGGCATTGAATGTTTGCCATATACACTGTAATCTGCCCTGAGTCCCCTGCGGGGTGAGAAGGGCAGAATATAAAAGCAGTAAATAAATAAATAAATAAATAAATAAAACTTGTGAAATCTTTTGCTTGTAAAACTTGGTGGACATCCAACTCTTTGTTTGTCACGCAAGTCAGGTGTTCCCACCTCTTTAAACTTACTTGCCCAACAGTACTCACATCAACGCAATCACCATAAACAGCTTGCATTCTCTGATGAATCTCCCTTGGGGTGACACCTTCAGCTGTCAAGAATTCAATGACTGAACGTTGCTTAAGTCACATTGACCAACGGTCTGTCCAGGGTTCCACTTTAACAACATAACCATTCAATACTAAGGCTTCCCACCAAAATGGAACTGTAGAGGAGAGCCTACTGAACAAGCCAGTACCTGCTGCATACCAGTACTGCCATCTGTTGAAGAGTTACGAAGGTGGAGGCATTACTTTTCATTCTACCCTTGTATTAAATGTTGTTCGATGAGTAGCTGGCCATTTGGAGTGCCTCTGTTGCTGTAAGAAGTGCATGTGACAGGGCTGAGGCTGCATTATAATAGATGGTCTGTGGTTTGCTCTTCTCCACACTTGCTTCACCACTTACTGGGAGGAATTAAATGGGTAGAGAGATGCCCATCAAACTAATAGTGGGGATGTGGAATGTTTAACAAAAGTAACCCAAAGTTCATTCAACCGAGAGACCAGGAGCACTGGAAGACATAGATTGAAAACATCCTTAGGAACTTGCCTATAAAAGTCTTCCAGGATCTTGGGTCTTCGCTTTGCCTCCATCCATAAGGCCACCCCAGCACCACCGTGTTGTGCTTCATGCCCCCCAATCCGCTGGACTGGATCAAGTGGGAAATGCCATCCCGAAGTTTATGAGCCACGACCACTTGGCAAAACCCTTTCACCTTCTCAATTTCAATCATGTTTTTGATTGTCTGGAAGAGAATAACACAGCGTCAGGGAACATCCTTCATGCGCCAATCATGGAATCCATTTCCAAAAAGTATCAAATCCCCCCACAATTTAAAAATTGAGTTATAGGTGGCTAGGAGTAAAATATCATGCATGGATCAAAACTATCACAACATATCAAATGATGTTTGTTATATGTGCACCCTGCTGTGCCTTGTAAGCCACCTTGAAATTTTGTCATTTGGGGGTTGTAGTTGCTGGGATTTATAGTTCACCTACAATCAAAGAGCATTCTGAACCCCACCAAGGATGGAATTGAACCAAACTTGGCACACAGTTCTCCCATGACCAACAGAAAATACTGGAAGGGTTTGGTGGGCAGTGTCCTTTGGTTTTGGAGTTGTAGTTCACCTACATCCAGAGATCACTGTAGACTCAAACAATAATGGATCTGGACCAAACTCTACACAAATACTTAATATGCCCAAATGTGAACACTGGTGGAATTTGGCGAAAATAGAATCTTGACATTTGAGAGTTGTAGTTGCTGGGATTTATAGTTCACCTACAGAGCATTCTGAACCCCACCAATGATAGAATTGGGCCAAACCTCCCAAACAGATCCCCCATGTGGGCTACAGCAATGTGTGGCAGGACGGCTAGTAATAATAATAAGAATTATTATTATTATTATTATTATTATTATTATTATCATTATTATTATTATTATATGTTTGAAACATACTAAGAAGCACAATGAGGCAAGAAAGACTGACTGCACTTGCACTCTTGAGTGTCCTCCAAGGTTTATCAATGGAGCCTGATTTCCGTCCAAGTGTATTGACACAGTTTTCAAGTGTTTCCAACAGACACTGTGGTATTCTTTTGTAACTATACATGACCAATTAACAGTCATTTTCGGTTATTTTAAGTCTTGAAACTTGGTAACTAAAATAGAAAACTGATTTAATTAACGAAAGGTTGCAGGTTCGAATCCGAAGAGTGGTGTGAGCTTCTGCTATCAGCCCCAGCTTCTGCCAACCTAGCAGTTCGAAAACATGCGAATGTGAGTAGATCAATAGGTACTGCTCCGGCGGGAGGGTAAGGGTCCTCCATGCAGTCACGCTGGCCACATGACCTTGGAGGTGTCTATTGGCTTAGAAATGGAGATGAGCACCAAGCTCAGAGTTGACACGACTGGAATGTCAGGGGAAAACCTTTACCTATAAAAATATAAAATTAACCATACTATTTAAATTAGTTTGTGGTATGGAACTACTCTTCAGGATTTGCTAAAAAAAAGTTTCAACCCCACCCCCAGATTTTTGTGGCTATGGCCCTGGTGGAGGCTCCTCCTTTGGACGCGTTTCAACAGAGGCTGGATGGCCATCTGTCATGGGTGCTTTGAATGCAATTTTCCTGCTTCTTGGTAGAATAGGGTTGGACTGGATGGCTCACAAGTTCTCTTCAAACTCAAGGATTCTAATGGCATCTTCAGAGATTCTGTTTACAGTGAAGCAAGTGGGGTTGACACAGGGGTGGCTCAACCCATTATGCAAAGTAAGCCTTGATTTTGCCCAGGGGCACTCTTGAGGCGTTCTTAGGGGACAATAGACCTTGACATATGTGAATGTATAGTTCACCTACAATCAAAGAGCATTCTGAACTTCACCAATCACGGAATTGAACCAAATATGGCACACAGAACTCCCACGACGAACAGAAAATATATATCAGTGATTGGTTGGGGGGGGGGGTGCCAAAATACTGTTTCTTACCGTTGAAAACTACCTAGGGCCGCCTCTGCATATAGGAAACACTGCTTGAACACAAAGCAGCTGCACACAATAACATCCTGTGGAAACTTACTGGCAGTGCATGGGGAGCTGACCCAAAATTAATAAGAACACCAGCCCTTGTCTTACTCAATTGGTACTCACAAGTCTGTGTGTTTGGCACAAGTCTGCTCACGCAAAGCAGGTGAACATAGCACTGAACGAAACATGCAGAATAATCACAGGATATCTTAAACCTACACCTGTTGATAAACTCTACAAGCTAGCTGGAATCCCCCCCTCCCTGATGTGCAATGGGAAGTTGCTGCTAACTGTGAGAGAAATAAGGTTGAACACTGTGAAAGCCACCCAGTGCATGGCTACCAGCCTCCTCCCAGTAGACTCAAATCAAGGATAAGCTTCATGAGAACCACCACTCCTCTTCACGTTCCCCCAGCAACAGCAAGAGGATTCCTCTGGGCAGCTAAACCAGAAAATCCCAATTGGATGGCACCCCAAGAGGGTCTTCCTCCGTGGGCAAATCACGAATGGGCAACGTGGAAGTCCCTGAACAATCTCAGAAGTGGAGTGGGCAGATCAAAAGACAACCTGGCCAAATGGCACTACCAAAAAGAATCCCACACCTTGTGCGACTGTGGAACAGAACAGACAACTCCGCATCTGTATGCTTGTCCACTATGCCCTGCCTCATGCACAGGGCAAGAATTGTTGGAGGCTACAGACAATACCATTGCTGTTGCCTGTTTTTGGTCAAAAGATATTTAGCCACCTGCGCTCCTTCTATTTTTATCAGTTCATACTAATTTATGCAATGTTTTTGATACAAAATAAATAAATAACCTGTTCAGCCGCCTGAGCTTCTCCATAGCTCTCCAAAAAGTTGCCTTGGATGACCGTCCCAATGATTGTCAAGCCCTTGCCAGCTTTCAGCTGAGAAGCAAATGTCAACAGCCGGGGGTATTTCACATGCAAATCCTCATCCAGCTTCAGAAGCACCAAGAGCTGGGGCCTGAAAAGAGAGGGGAGGGGGAGACACCAAGAATGCTCAGCGGCTTTGTTCCTTCCTTCAATGAGTCAGAATATTAAGCACCTCTAAAGAGACTTTGATGGGTTTACAGTCCACTCAGATCTGGCTGGCTTGCTTTCAAATGGCGTTCAAGCACAGCTGAGCTCATGGAGATTCAACTCACGCAGGGATTTGTTCATGGCTGAATACAACACCAGCTTTTGTATACCAAAGCTACCATCTGGACTAACGTTCTCCAATCTGGTGTCCTCCAGAAGTTGAATGACAGCTCCCACATTCCTCTGTGCAAATTGGGAAGGAAGCTCTAGTCTGAGACATTTGCAGACACTTCACTTAGGCGATCCCTCATAGTCTGAGGATGATGGTCCTCCAAGCATACAACTCCCTTGCTGAACCAGCTCCACTGGCTGCCGATATGCTACCGGGCTCAATTCAAAGTGCTGG